TAAAACAGGGATCTCAGGCAAATAATATACATGTATGCTGCCTCTGTATTTCTGACAAGCATAGCAATGTGAAGTTGATGAAACATTGCCCATTCAAACAAGTTATATACTGAATGAGCGGCTATTCTGTTCTTGCAATGACGACCCAATTGCCTCTAACCAAAAAAATAAAAGTTGTAATCTTACATTATCTTTAAATGACCCATACACTCTTTTTTCAGTACCAGTCTCCCTAACTAGCTACATGTCGAATTGAGCAAGAAGATAATAACTTACCAACTTCACCTTGAAGACATTTCTCGGCCAGTAACCAGACTAGGGTAGCTGCTACAAATTGTACTCTTAAACTTAAATGAACTTGTTGAGACGGCAAACGGGAAGAAATCCTCATATTGCCCTCTAGAAAAAAACATTTAAGCGAGAGAAGAAACACCCACTTACCAAAACTGAATTTAACTAACGAAAAACAGTTTGACACTATTTTTTAACATTTCGAAACAAACACATGATCAATTATTAATTGAACCCCTTGGCTTTCGCTGTATACGTATTAGATTTCACTGCTGTGAGTTGATAGGCTTAACACGCTTTTATAGATTAACTGAAAACAATGCAGTTGTTACCAAGGAAGAGTCATGTAATAATTAGGAGGAAGTTAGCTAACGGAGAGGCGCTGAATCGAAGTCAGTAGTTACTGGTAAATAACAAACGACTTAGTGACGAACTCAAGCAAAATTAACAACCCTGGCAAATTCTAGGCTTAATTTAAGTTACACAACAGACTAGCAATAGCGTAGTTGACCAATAACCAGGGACAAGGATTGTTTTATGTAAAATATCTGTTTGAAGAGAGAGGCAAAATATAGATTGCCTAGAATTTTATTTTATTTTATTTTTTGAAGACAGCCAAAAATGTCTAGATGACCATTTCATTCATGTACAATTTTCATTTTTTCATTTTGTTGAATCTATTGGCAGAATCTAACTTCCCCTAAAAGAAGCCACAAGCCAAAAATACTTACAGTGCGACTACTAGAATCGGGGTACTTGAAAGAAGATTGTATCATCACAACGTTTTACGAAAGCAAAAGATTCTCATGCTTTTTTGCCAAGCAGGGCTGTTTCCTGAGAGGTCACGTAAGTTAAAAAATGGCCGTCTTATCAATTGCTGGTTTGCACGTGACATCACGGCGGCCATGTTGGTGTTGTGTTAGAATTAAGAGAAAAGCATTTCTCTCTCTGGGAACTAAACCCAATTTTCATGTAGATTCTTCGAGAAAAAATTCTATTGTGTTGACCACCAACACACCACCAATATGGCCGCCTTGTCACGTGATTGTAAGCCAAGAATGCCAAGTATTACTCCAAACAAAGTCACCATGTCTAAAACGGATGCCAAGAGGTAGCCCCTGCCTTTAATTCTTTAGTAAACTTCTTTGAATCTCTATTCGTTAATTTAGAAACTAGCGTAAACTGGGTTGATTTAAAATTCGTGAAGACTTCTGAGGTTGGACTAGGGAAAAAGAAAAAAAAATGGTCAATAGCTGACCAGCGCGTTATGAACAATTGGTTGACGCTTTTCGGCTCCACTTCCCTTATCGTTTGTAAAGTGACAAATGGGGAGGCGGATATTTCTTGTATGCATGCGGAACAGAAGCCCTCCTGGCAGAACTTTTACTTACCAAGACAGATTTATAGATGAACTTCGATCGTTCCTCGAGACCTTCAGGATGTAGGTTATCATCTGAACTGCTCAGTTCACATAAACGCGTCCCTTGATTCTTTGGTCCAAGATTGACTGACATGCAGTCGTCATCGTCGAAACAATTGGCTTCGCAAGCTGTTCCTGCATCTACCAATAAACGCCTAATGACATGACCTGCCAGGCTACGTCCAGGAGTTGGCGGTCGGAACTACATCACGCGACAATTATCCACGGATGTTTTTCCTTCTACTGTTGCAAAAAACTAAATCAATGGGTAAATTGTTACTTTCTTTCATTTTTGTTTTTGTTTGTATGCATGATGAATATAAAGCAAAAACATTGTACTGTACTGACATGGTAAAAACCTGGGGATGGGAGGGGGAGTCCAGCTGCCAGTCCGAGCGCAGTGGGTGTATTGTATTCAAGGGTATTGTCAAGGGAATTGTAGTAATTAAATTTCGCAACACGAAAAATAGTATAGGCTCAATTCATTTCTCTAGGAAGCTTAACTACAGCAAAACCCTTTGTTCCCCTTAGGCTCTTCTTTCAATGATACAATATGTATCATAAACCATCTTTAAATATCACAGTTTCCCAAAATGTAAAGTGCAACTAGTAGTTTTTATCAGATAATATTGGAGAAAGTGTATTATTTTTTTTACCGATAAATCAAGAATTCACCCTCACAAATTTTCTATGCAGAACAAAGTCCGGGTGCTATTTTCTGGGTTCCTCTGCCTGTCGAAACAAACAGCACCTATTTTGATCAAAATGGTAATCTTGCGGCATCAGCAATTCCATGTTTGGAGGTGATGCCTTCCGTTTCGTCAATTTTCATTTCTCATTTTTCAAACTGCCTTTATTTTAACGTTGTGCCGGCATAATTTCACCTCTAATATCATCTGCTCAAGTTTACACTCCAAAACCTATGACTGCGGGGCTGTAGCGTTTTCTTATCACAAAGCCATTACCTGTAAATCAAGCAGTCATCTAGCTTGTATTAGTTCGTTTCATTTCGTTTCATCCTTGGCTAAATATTGAGGCCTAGAAAGAAAGTATTTATTCTCGACGGTGGTTTCCTTGGTAAGTAAAAAAATTTATGTTCACTCGCGGGCTTGACAATTATTCTTCGCTACGCTCCATCAAAACCGCTGCACACTGACTAAAATAAATGCTAATAACATACCGACTGAGGAAAGCCATGGTTGGTTAAAAATCAAGACCAGAAATGCTGCAAAAAAGGGTAACACCAGGTAACCTCGTTGAGACTCCCAACCAAGAGCTCGAGAAATCGGCATGCTACTCTTTGCGAAAACTGCAAGCAGTTGAAGAACTCCTACCGCCCAAAATTAAAGTGAAGTTAACCGTAAAAAGAATTTTTAAATAAGTGGAAGTAGATAACTACATAACATGATTAATTATTAAATATAAAAACAGAAAGGTATTAAAACTTTTTTTATTGTTTTGACATTACAATAAAGGATGTCGCCTGGAGTCTTTGTGTATCCCTTTTTTGCTTAAGCCCCACCCAAACAACCCACCGATCTAAATTTTGTTAACCTTTAAGTTGTGCAAGGCCAATTTAACCTTAATCGTAGCTAACAGAAGGGGGCACCTGGTCTTATTGTACTTAAAAAAAATTGTAAGCGTTTGTCACTATTGAGTAATTAGTGAGTTGACGCAACAGGACGGCGGGAAGAAGAGGACGGCAAAAAGCTCGTGTGTGACAAACGTGACTGTGCTATTGCTTGCGAGTAGTGTCGTAATCTTCACTTAACATTTATGTTTTCTGGTCTTTACGAAAAGACCCGTTTAAAGGCAACATCGCCCCGTTTATTAATTAACCACGACACAAGTCTGCCATCTTTTAAATTGAATTTCTTCAAAACTAGCAGGAGCTGAAACTAATAGACCCTTTTCAAATTAGTCACGTCACAGCGGCTATAATCAAACTGTGGCCATGTTGGTGTATGAAAATATACCTACAGGGAGTGAACTGTATTCTCATGTGGCTGAAATTTGCATAGCTACTGACCACATGAGTTCAAACGATCTACAAGACTTTAGATTGCTTAGCTTAACATTTTACATAATCAAAATTCGGGACTGGTTTACGCAAATTCGAGTAGCTTCCTCGCTATAAGCGAATCGAAGAGGTACGGTGAATCTACAATATTGAGGCTCACATCTTGAAATACTTTATTCTTGTCTGCACCTAACTGCAATTGACTACATCTCTAATTGCCTCTCACTACATCTTCTTAAAACCTAACCTTAGACCTAAGACCTTAGACCTAAGTTAAATTAATAGCTTCATTAAAAAGACGGTAATTTATAACTCTGAAAAAACCGGTGACTGAACACTATCTAATCCGCAGATGACTTTTTAAGTCGTAGGGAGGCGTGGGAGAGGAAAAAAAGGACAGCGCGCGGGGGACGACGGGAGAGGGAAAGAGAAGAAGAGATGCAGGCACCTGCCTATCCTCTCTTCCCATCGTCCACAGCGAGCTTACTTTTTATTTAGTTGCTATGTTTTTAAGCTAGGAATTATTTTGAATGAATAATAAAGTAATTAATGAATGAGGCTGAGTATCTTATGAAGAATTATGGAGATCGAGGAGGGTGTTATCCGTCGAGGCCGGATAACACCCTCCGAGCCGAATTCAAGAATTGTTTTAATATTCATTCAAAATAATCTCTAGTTTAAAAACACAGCTAAAACATGCTTACCTCCATCGATGTTTAGTTCATCTTCCATAGTGCACGTTTAGGGTTGTTCAGCTCCGCAAATATTCTCCAAATAGTAGATGTTGCCCTTCCAGTGTCTCCTTGCTGTTCTTGCCATGTTTTTAGCTAAAATTTCGCATAATTCTTACTCTTGAAAAGAGTGAAATGTCCGCCATTTTTGTTTTCACAACCAAAACAACTCAACCTCGTCCCCAAGTGTTCTCGGTTAACGGTGCATTAACCCGCAAGAAGGCTGCACTTTTGACGTCATCGGTTGATTAATCGCAAAATTCTTCCAAATTTGGTCATCAGTAGCTGGTTATGGTGAATTAGACATGTGCTTTAAGCCATTATAATCAGAGAAATATTTTGAATGAATAATAACATGACTTAAACATACCAGGCGTGAACATGGACACAAGTTTGTCCACTTTTACCCTGCTCGGTTTAATCGAGCAAATCTTCCGTGTACCAATTTGCCTATTCGGTATTTCAGTATAAACAAGTGGCAACAAGTAAAATAAGCGCTGAACAGACTTAAGTGCAGTGACATACTAGACAGCATGTTTTAAATATACCAAGCGTAAACATCGACACATATCTGGCCACTGTTATCAGACTCGGAACAATCGACCAAATCTTCTGCGTACCAAATTTGAAACGTTTGACCAAGTGAGACGTTCAGTGGAGGCAGCAGATGGTTAAACACTAATTCTGGGGAGTTAACATCAGTTCCTTTCAGATGATACGTGTAATATCTGAAGCCACAATCCCGTGTATTTCTCAAATAGTCAGCCAGCAGAAGGGCAGACCTGTTTGTATACGTCAGAACAGTGGCCAATTGCTTGTCCCCATACACTGGGTGCTTGCAACCCCAATGGGTTGGTTCGGACTCATGCGAGAAGGCACAATTTACAGAACCATTCCTATAGACCAATGTGAATGTGTTGATGAGGCCGCTTCTGTTGATCGTGAATGTTCCGTAAGTGTCACCAGCAGCTCCGAAGCAAACTGGGTCTTCATTGACCTTTTTCCAGTTTTCTGAAAACGATAGACATGAATCCGCTAACAACTGAATTTTATACCGTTAAGGGTGATGTTACACGGAACGATTTGCAACGACGATTTTTAGCGCAACACAGCGTTGCAATGCTTGAACAATGTTGTAACCATTCGAAACAATGTCGCAACAATGTTGCAACGCTGTGTTGCGCTAAAAATCGTCGTTGCAAATCGTCCCGTATAACATTACCTTAAGATACGATGCAATTGGATGCAACAACACTGGCGACCCAAAGAAATGGAAAATATGTCACCCGACCCCTTGTGAGGGAATTCGGATTCCGGAATGTGGGAAAAGGTTTTGATTGTGGAATCCGGAATCCCAGGAAATTTGTGCTTCTCGGATCCAGAATACTAATCTTTGAATTCCGGAATACAACTCAAGGAATCCGGGATCCGATTAACGATTGGAATCCGGAATCCAGGTTCCACTGACCAACGCTGGAATTGCCGTTCCTGGAATCTGGAATCCACAGCCTGGAATCCAGAATCCAAGAGTGTATTGGACCTTACATGGGGCGAAGCATGCATAAAATCCAAATGATTTGAGACGTCACATTTGAGCCTGTCAAATTGGTGACCAGTCGAACAGGTGTGCTAAAGCCATTTACACTTTCAAATTTTCTAAAAAATCTCATTTTGTTCAAAACGCAATTTTTTTAGAATAGGTTCTTACAGCTATATAAATCATACCTTTACATCGGTATCCTTTATCAGTAAATCCTGTTTGACATGTGTACCCGGAGGGACATGGGCTGCTTGAGCAATAATTCTGTTAAAGAAAAAATCGAATTAAAAGGCTTTTTTTGTATGATATACGTGTGATTTTTATGAGGACGAGAAATGCTCATCTCCACGCGCAAGGTAGCCTGCAAACCTAAATGTATCTCGTCGCTTCTCTGCACACTTTACCTGTCATTCAATATCTCCTTCATTTAAAGGCCGATTTTCACCATCTTCAGAGCAAATATATCTCAAAGATAAACGAAAAGCCACAAAATAATCAAAATAAAAACAAATGGTAATATTAAAACAAACACTACGACGGAAGTTTAAATGATACACAAACAGATTCTCACGTATTCAATATTAATTGTACTGTAACATGCATGTATGCAGTCAGCAATAACTTACCCACACAGACTTATAAAGGAATCCCTGTTTGTGCGTAAGATGTTTAGGATGTATATTGTGATCTGAACTACTCAGTTCACAAATGTGCTTCTCTTGTTGTTGTGGTCCCAAGTTGATTGACATGCAGTCATCGTCATCGAAACAAAAGGCTTCGCATGCCGTTCCTGATAGTACCGATAAGGTCCTGATCACATGACCAACAAATCTGCGTTGTAATGTTGGAGGCTGGTATTGCATTATTCGACAATCATCCAAGGATGTTTTTCCTTCTGTTCCAGGACAGTGTCAGTAAATATCGTTAGTGAATGATACACAAACAATGAATAAGGTCACGTACAGCTAAAAAACTGAAAAGAGTATTTCGTTATTTTTTTTTATTAATGAAACGATATCTCTGAAAGAAGAAGAAGAAAAATCTTAAGAAACAACAAAAGGAATTTAAAAAGTATGCACCAGCGTCTGCGTGTAGGTTTATTTTGCGTGCGAGCTGCCACACGTGTCGAAAAGTATGGCATAAAGTTATTTATTTACTCAATTTGTCGAAAAGTTGAGGATCCCCTTTCGGCAACCTCTGGTCTATAAAGGAACTAGATTATCCCTTTAAAGCAAATTTTGCAGGTGCAATTACGGCACTGGATACGAATTTTGTTGTGCACATGTATGCTGAATGAGAACGGAACACTATAAATTTCTTCGCCTGCGTTTGTCTCAAGGTTAACATAGGGAAAATGTTGAAGGACAAAATGAATCAACGTACCAGCCAAACTCTGAAATCTTTCATTTGAACCCCAAACCAGAAGTGCTCCAACAAAACGATGAAATATCATCCGTTGGTCTAAACAACGACCCATTTTTTCTTAACTGTCTGTTAAGAGAAGGCAAGAGGATATTTAATCAAGAGAAGGAGGAGCCAGTAGACAAATCGATGTTTAGTAAGTCTGAAAGTACAAATTATTTTCTAGTTAGAAGACCCATGATAAATTATTAAAACCTAAAATAAAAATCATCTTTTTTGCCATTTCATTATTGTAAAATAGAATGCCCTATGGAATCAAAAGCTGGATTTGTTTTTATGGGATGCAGTTAATTATGGAACCCACCTGGCTTCTTTGGTATTGTTGATAATTCTGCTCTGATCGACGTACCGAACGAAAACAGTACATAAGCTGGCATGCGTTAACTGCTTTCTACTTTTTTCTTGATTCAGTATTAATTGTTACCGCACCTCACCAGATGTTGTTTAGTACTTCCAAAACCAAAAACTGACCACCTGAAGCGTAGCTTTAGTTACAGTGGTGTTCTTCTTTTGGAGAAGTTTTCATAGATGAATTTCAAATCAGTACTTTCAAACGGCAGCAAAGTTGACATACTTCCAGTTGTAGAGTTTTATTTATTTTCCGTGTTAGACTGATATTTTTAGCTGTGTTTTATTTCATTTTTTTTTATTCTTTCATTTACTCGTTCTTGTGAAATATAATTTTTAGTTTTTGTTTGTTTGTTATGCCAACGAAGTCATGTCAATTCATTAGCCAGTTTTTATTATTTTACAAATCACAAAAGATATTTACAAAACTAAAAAGAAAGTTAATATATACAATAGTGTTTAAAAAAATAATTGGATGAATGCATTAAGTAAAAAGTAAATAAATAAATAATAATAATAATAATAATAACACCCGCGAACCGTACCGTGGAAAGAAGATTCATAATAACTATCAGCAATAAAAATTTTATGATCTTACCCTAGCGCAGCTTTTCTTTTTTTTCTGTATTAAGTAACTTCCCTGCTCAGCACTTTTTTGCAGGCTACAAAACAACCAATTGCAAATACATCGATCTGCATACAGGGGCTGGGACATTTCCAAGGCTTAAAACTCTGGCGTTATACCTCTTCTCTCTTAGCTTAGCTTGCCTCTAAGAAGAAGGCTTTGGCAGTCTACTATGCCTCTTTGCGAATTCATTCTAGATATTTCTATTTCGATGGCAAATAAATTCCTTTATTCCCCTCCTTTTTTTCCCTCTGTTTTAATGATTTCCTCACTCCTTTTTAAATTTATATGTGAAGATCACTCGACCATCATTTTATTTCTGACATGTGTTTCGGTTTATTCTCGCGAATCATCGGAGCAGCGGAATATTATACCCTCGTTAGAAGCTGTTAACTGTTTTCTGTATTAGATTTTTCTCAAGTTCAAGTTCGAGTTCATTTATTCACACTTATTCAATTGCAATACAACAACAATAAGAAAAAACAGACGTAAAAACAGAGCTAACTATACATTGAATTAAACATAACAAAGTAAAAAAGTGTGTAGCAGCCAAAGAAGCCAAGCTTTCGAGTTGGCTACTACCACAGAGCGGTTAGTATACAAGTGGCTGAAGGTTATACAGTAATTATAAAAAACGGTTAAACTCTCCACGCGTTTAGAACTCCGCCCGCCATCAGTGGTCGCACGTGTCTCTTTCCTCCGCAGAGGCCTCTTTGTGTCGTAGGGAGACTGAGGAGAAACATCTAAAAAACATCTCAGTCCTCCACTTTGATTTACCTTTTGAAAGGGTCGCACGAAAAGGGAAATCAGGCCTGTTTCAAGCGTCGTGCTACTGCCGTGCTATGCTGGCTCGACTGCAGTTCGACTGCAGCACGATACTACACGACTTGGTTTCAGACGACGAATTTAATTCAGTCAAATAGAACGGCTGTTACCGAAAACAAGAATAAAGAAACGGTTAAGCAACTTTTAAGTGTATCTAATGTATTTATAACTTATGAATTGAGTTCGGCACGGTGGTAGCTAGCACGACGTTTGAGCATGTTGAAACCAAGTAAAGCTGCTGTTGTGTAGCACGGCAAGGCTTCCCGTGCTACACGGCAGTAGCCAACTTGGTTTCAAACGTCGCGCTACTGCCGTGCTAAAGTCGAATTTAATTCGATCAGTTGAGTTCGGCACGGCAGTACACGACGTTTGAAACGGGCCTCAGCCATTTTGTAAACATCTATTTCAGTGCTTCCTTGTTCCAGTCTTCCTTGGAAATCCAGCGCCATCTTGAATATATGGCAGAGGCTCCCGCCTTTCCCCTCTTCCCGTCGTCCCCCGCACGCTTTCTATTTTTCCATTATTACTATTTTTATTGGGATACCCAGGGGGAGCCTCTGCGGAGGAGAGAGAACTTTTACCATTTTCTGGCACTGTGTATCCATTTATGACGCACTATAAATCAGGCACAGAAAGCAGATCCTACTTCTACAATACGGGCTATTCAGATTCCTCACTTCAGAAACTCTAATGAGAATGGGTACAAGCTTTGAGCGCAGTGATTTCTGGGGCCGTTCGAGTGAGCAAGTATTAGTTATGATCGGTCGATGGTATTCACAGCAACCATTAACCATTAAAAGAAACGCTTGTCCACCCAAGCGATCCCAGACCATCGTTGTACCAAAAACCTCACAGTTTCTGGAGGGTTGTGACTAGAATGGATGCCTCAAAATCATCTTGGACACCTTATGTTTATTACACAACGCTATACGCTATTCCACGCTATACTACATATTTTAAGCGAATTTATTTATTTGTTTATTGGGCAGGAGAACTTTTAGAAAAATGGGGAAATCAGAGTAGGAGACTCTTGTGTAAGGAAAAGAGTTGAATACAGGGTTTAGCACCGAAGTACAGTGATTAGGGTTAAGCACTGTGTTAAAACGGTTAGCTTTCGTTGATGTAATGAACAATGCCACGCAAAGTACTTTAAAATTAATTGGTGTCGGCAGTTAGCCTTTGATGATGTAGTGGATACGAATGTGGATTTTACATCAAATGACGTGGGTTCAAGTCTTACATACTACCCACCTGTTTTCTTTCTTCTCTTATTTACTACTTAAAGTTGTCAGACTCCTATCATGTATTTTGAGTGAAGATGACAATCTGACTTTGGGGTATCCAATCTAGTCACAGCCGTTTCTGGAGTGGTAAATTGGACACGTATATGTCGTTTGCACTTACATTTTGAAATATAATTGCCTATTCATTTTTTCATGCACTGGTTCAATAAACAAGCGGCAATAAGTAAATAAGCACTTGAGTAGGCTTTTATACAATACATAGCATGATTTAAGCTGTATACCAGGCGTAAACATCGACACATGTCTGGCCTTTGTTATCAAACTCGAAACAATCGACCAAATCTTCTGCGTACCAAATTTGAAACTTTTGACCAAGCGAAACGTTTAATGGGGGCAAAAGTTGGTTAAACACTAATTCAGGAGAGTTAATATCAGTTCCCTCTAGACTATACATGTAATATCTTTCGCCACATTTCCATGTTTCTCTCGAATAATCGGCCAGCAAAAGGGCAGACTTGTTCGTATACGTTATAACAGTGGCCAATTGCTTATCCCCAAACACTGGGTGCTTGCAACCCCAATGGGTTGGTTCTATGATCGAGAATCCACAAGTGACAGAACCGTTCCTATAAACCAGTTTGAATGTATTGACGAGTCCGCTTTTGTTGATCGTGAATGTTGCATGAGTGTCGCCAGCAGCTCCAAAGCAAACTGGGTCTTCGTTGATCTTTTTCCAGTTTTCTGAAAGTGATGAACATCAATCCGTGATAAATTGAATGTAATCTTTTTTTTTTAATTTAGAAATTAAATCTTGTCATCCAAAATAGCTGTAATGTCCAAATTTCTAACTTAACTTGAGGTTGCTTGACCCTCAGACGCACAGGAAGGGGAAGAGAGGGGTGGATGCTAGCCCCCTCCCCCCCACACTTTGAGATTTTTCTGAGTTTTTCCTAGAGGGTCAAACATCAGCAGCTGATTTTTGCAGTAGGTGTTCTCTTAACCCTGGCGTTCATTCTAAAACAAGTTTAAAGATGATCACTGACTACGGTTATGAGAAGGCTCTTACGAGATATGACGTCACAGGTAGCTGGTGGTCGAGCCATTTTTGAATAAGAATGCATTTTTTTCCAACTTGTTTCGACAATTTCAGTTAAAAGTGTGGATAAAATGAAGCAGAGAACTTAATATTTTTGCGTTATTTACATGTCAAACACAAAAAATTACCAATTATCTCCGTTTCTACTTGATTTCTAACTCTTGGTAAAATCCAAGATGGCGACCATGTTTGGTGACGCCACAGGCCTCCAACAGTGCCACCACCCTTAAAATATTCCATATCTTGTCGAGAAGATGAAAGGCTTTCCATTGAAGGTAAATTTTTTTTGTAATACTGCAACATGTGAAAGACTTAAGGCAAGGGTTCTATCACCGCGCCCCCCCCACCCTTGTACCACGGTGGGGATATTACTCTGTTTGTTCGTCCCGGGGTTAAGTGGGTGATTCATTTTGATACTGTTGATTTTTGTGTAAAGAAATCTACCCAAGGTGAAATCCTCGGTTGAGTGTCAGTGAAATCTTTTATTGGCTGGCTTTTAATTCTTCATTACTGTGAACGGTAGGCAATAATTTGTCAAACCACTTTTTTTAAAAAATGTTTTACGGTCGTGCTAACTGTAAACGCCTGCCTTTATGCCGCCACGGGCATGAGCTTGAGCAGCAACGTGTTTGAACCATGGACGTCAACCGAAAGTTGACGTTTTTCACTCTTGAGCCGTGATTCTGAACGAATTTTTGGTAAAATAGTCTCTATATGGGTAAAGACACTTAGCAATACAAATTTGCTAGCGTTAAGGTATATTAAAAGAGAAAAAGGCTCACTTCCGGTTGACATTCGTCGCGCAAAAACGTCACTTCTTTATTTTTCGACAACTCGCATTATCAATGTACAAAGTACCTGTACATCGGTATCTTTTATCAGTAAATCCTGTTTGACATCTGTACCCCGAGGGGCATGGGCTGCTTGAGCAATAATTCTGTTGGAAAAATAAAAATAGCAGGCAATAACACTTTTTGTGATACGATGTACCACGTAAGTGTATTTTGAATTTTTTTTCTGAGGGTCTCGCGAGGCGATCTTCTGTCGGTGCTACTTTCAAGAATATCTAACTTATGATATCAAAAATATTGACGTTTGAAGAGTGTTTTAAGCAACATTAACCCTTTTATCGAAAAAAATATAAACCATTATGAACTAATCGCAGATTATAGCCAACTCAGCGTCGCGCGTCGCTGGCTACCACCATCTCATATCCAACAAGTGCGAGTGAAATAACTGTTTTATTAAAAACGCCCACAAAATATCGAGAATTCCTCCCGACTCTATTTGTAAAAACAACCGATTTTCAGCTTGTTTTTAATTTTGAGCAGACGCGTACAGTTACCATATTTGGAGAGCATGGTATAATGGATACCATTATGGCTAAGCCAATCAAAGCTCTAGGATTGCATTATCCAATGATTCAGTTTTTAATAAATGCGGATACCGTTACTTACCCACACAGACTTATAGATGAACCCCTGTTGTTGCATAAGATCTTTAGGATGTATATTGTGATCTGAAAGACTCAGTTCACATTTGTGCTGCCCCCCTTTTCGTTGTGGTCCGAGGTCGATTGACATGCAGTCATCGTCATCAAAACAGTAGGCTTCGCATGCTGTTTCTGATTGTACCAATAAGGTCTTAGTCACGTGACCAACAAGTCTGCTTTGTGATGTTGGAGGCTGGAATTGCATTATTCTACAATCATCCAATGATGCTTTTGCTTCTATTACATGTTAGAGAGACAAGTAGACTTTGTTAATAAATGATGCATGATAAATGAATTACGTCTACAGTAAACGATATCGTTGACAGAAGAAGAGGAAGAAGAAGAATGGCAAGAAAAACAACAGCAAACAAGAACTAGAAGAAGAAGAGCAACAACAATAAGAACGACAACAGCAAGAACTAAATTGTAGAAGAAGAAGAATAAGAAGATGAAGAAGAAGAAGAAGAAGAAGGAAAATTTAACAACAACTCCAAAACACAACCACAACTTCAACAACAAGAACTAGGAAAAAAAAAAGAGAAGCAAGAAGAAGAAGACGAAAAAGAAGAACAACAAAAAACAACCACAACAACAACAAGAGCTAAAGCTGTAGAAGAAGAAAAAGAACAAAAACAACAACAGCGAAATCAAAAACAAGAACTAAAACTGTAGCCGAGAAGAAGAGAAAGAACAACAACAAGAAAAAACTGTAGATCAGAGACGAAGAAGGACAGCAAGAACAAGAAGAAAAACTAAAACTGTAGTTGACGAAAAAGAAGAAGAAGAACAACAAGAAGAACTTAATAGAAGAAGAAAAAAAAGAAGAAGAAGAAGAAGAAGAAGAAGAAGAAGAAGAAGAAGAAGAAGAAGAAGAAGAAGAAGAAGAAGAAGAAGAAGAAGAAGAAGAAGAAGAAGAAGAAGAAGAAGAAGAAGAAGAAGAAGAAGGACAACAAGAACAACAAGAACAACAACAAGAACTAAGACTGTAGAAGATGAAAGAAGAAATTGTAAAACTGTAGAAGAATAAAACAACAACAACACAGTGACAGCAAATTACAAGAACCGAATAAACTCGGCGTCTGCGAGCCGAGCATGTTAGGTGCCCGTGAGCATTCACACCCTTCAAAAACGGATTCATATGCCGGACTGATTTATGAACTTGATCACATTGCCTTTGAAGCCAATCAATTTCAAAGTGCAATTACGGTTCTGGATTTCAACAACATTTTAGTATTTTTTGTCTAAGGATGGAAGATTTCTCATGAATCTCGTACAAGTGTTTGTTAAAGGAGAACGGGCAACTAATTCCTATACCTGCCCATGTCTTTTATGTTATCACAAAAAAAATTATTAAAGAATAAACATGTAACAACCTACCAGCCAAACTTTGAAATCTTTCATCTGAGAACCAAACCAGAAATGCTCCAACGCTGAAACGAAGCAATAACATTCTTTGACTTCCTCGAGGATAAATGCTTCAAAGACTTCTCATATTTTCTTATGTGTCATTAAGAAAAAAAGAGCCTTAGCAAGACTTCAATAGTAAGAGAACTGAGAGTAAGACTCAGTAGTCATCACATCAATGCATAGTGACTTTCTTGGTGAGCTGATGCATTATATATAAGTGAAACCCAAAAAATTATCCTGTTTGTCATCTCAATATTGCATAAAAAGAATGCAATTTAGAGCAAACAGCTGGAGGCCTTTTCAGGAATGCCGAATTTCAAAAGAAATAACAAGCTTCTTTTATGGTTTTGTTGATATTTATTGATCTACCGTGACTTCAACAAAACAACATTCTCCAAGGTAATTGCTTTGTTCGTGTTTTTTGATGAAATAATAAATCATCCAATATTTTAATGCTCTCCAGATGTTGTTTCTTCCAAACATGTAACTTTTAGTTTTGTTGTTGCGCTATATAAATGATTATTTTCATGATCGTTTTTTTCTAAACATTTTAAGTAACTTAAGAAAATCCTGAGATGTTTAAGGGCGATTATGTTTGTTCGCTTTTCTTGAAATTTTGAAACCATAGATGAATATAGAAAACATAAAGACGAAAAACAAAATTTAGTATCATCAAAGGGTGATTAATAATTGCCGGCACTTTCACTCGACTAAACAGGGACTGCCATTGGTTGATTCTTGGTCACATGGCCTTGACTAAAATCAAATGTATCCCGATCGTCGATCGTGATACCTTTGTGCCATTGTACCCCCCAGGGACTTGGGTATTTTTTGGGTGGGTATGTGCCGCCCGGGACTCCAAATTGGCACCCCGTTCTAGAAAAAATTTCGCCTAAAATGATGCCCCGTTCTAGAAATGGGCCAATTTTTTATACCCCGTTCTAGAATTCGCCCTAAAACTGATACCCCGTTCTAGAAATGGGCCAATTTTTCATACTCCGTTCTAGGGTGCAACAAGAGTACGGTTTGCTTGTTAACGCGTTGAACCGTATTTTTAAAAGCAATCTGTCCTTGAATAATTTCAAATGGCTGCTTACACAAAAGTGGAGCTTTCGTGCGTTCGAAATATTATACCCCGTTCTAGAAAACGCCTCAGAAATGGATACCCCGTTCTAAATCAGGAGCTTCAAAATCACGACCCCTTTTGGGCGGCACATACCCGTATAGGTAATGTATGGGAGTACCCCCCCCCCCTCGGGCATTGTACCCTGCTCGGGATACATTACAGCACGTGATCAAAGCATGGTGGAGTTAAGTGGCGTGAGATCATCGACAGACTCGGGCGAGAAAAACACTGCCAGTAAAACACTTTCGGGATTTGGGGATGATTACAACAAGAGTCCACAACGCAAACATGAAGACTTAACTGGTCTCAAGCTAAAAAGCAATAGTTTTCAAAGTTATCCCTGAGGAGAAACAGCAGCTAGTGGAGGAAAAAGATGCAGATAATATATGGAGAGGTAAATATGTGTTCTTATAAGAACCGAGTAGACTGTTTTTGATTCGCTCCGGTTATTCATTTGTCGCTGTTGAAGAGAAAGTCTAGAGATATAACAAAAAACTTAATGTCGGGTCCCCCATCCAAGCGCGCGACATATGTAACATGCCAGTGACGCGAAACAAGTACTTTACACATGTGATAGAGTGAGGCCGAGTTTTTAAAGCAACCTTTTTACATTTTTTTTTACTTCTAGCTGGAATTCACTGCCTAATTAAAAGGAAAATTCATCCACTAGATTACATTTCTGATAAAATAAAAGTTGTGGTAGTCAAAAGACGACACCACCACACTCCCCGGTTTGCTATATGACGTAGTACATTCGGCCTACATCACCTGTCCAACTGCGGGCTCAGAATTTGCTTTCCATCATCCAAACCGAAACATGGCGAGACCCAACATGGTCTGATGATCAAAGTTTCTTTGATCTTACGATCAATAACCTCCACAACAGAATGCAGCAACGGTTAAACGGCTTGAAAAGCCGTAGCGATGAGTCTAGACTGCAAGCTGCTAAAGATCTGCAGCATTATGTCTCAACTGAGCTCCGGGAAGCTTCAGCCGAACAGTACACGAGTTTTATGGACGAGTTAAACCATCATATTTTCGAGATGGTTTCGAGTTCGGACGCCAACGAAAAGAAAGGGGGAATTATGGCGATTGGTGAGTATGAAAGAATTAGTGTCAAGTTATATCTTTTTTTTGTTTAATAGGCAAATATGTATATATTTTGGCCATTTTCGACTCTTCTAGATAATGCGGTGCTAGTTAAGTTCTGTGGTTAAGGTTAACCTTACCAAAACCGATCCCGTAATTGTGCTTGATCATGATGCACAGTCGCTTATCTTGAAAATATGGAATGAATGAATGAATGAATGAATAAAAAAAAAATAAACAAAATAAATGAATAAATAAATAAGTAAATAAATAGATAAATAAATAAAAGAGCAAGTAAATAGGTTAAAAAGAAAATGTTAAGAATAAAAATAAATAAGATAAAGTGAAATAAAATAAAATTCATTGGTGTCCTCTTTTGCTTCCATAATGGGGTAATTGTCCATAATTTATTGTGTTTACCACTTTTACTTAGTACGGTTATATATACATGTACAAGTATGAATGATAATATTATTAATTTTTATGGTATTGTTTTCTCTTCATCTGTATGCATTTTGTTGGTGCAACTATTATGCTTAAATGAAATGTTACAGATAATACCAAAACCCTCACATCTAGAATGAAAAGAAAACATTATAAAATGAGGGTTATTTAACATGTGGAATGATGGAGATAAAAATGGTTAAACAAGAATGCGTAGCCTTGGGCTTTTTGTCAAAAGTAAGCTTTCAGTAAGCCTTGATTGAGGTCCAAATGTTGAATTATTCTTACTTGTCTCTTGTTTAGTTGCCCTTATTGGAATTGATGGTGGAAACACCACCAAAATGAGCAGGTTTGCCAATTATTTGAGGAATTTGCTTCCATCAAATGACCAAGTTGTGATGCAAATGGCTTCTAAAGCAATGGGAAGATTGGCACACACCGGGGGGACATTTACTGCTGATTATGTTGAATTTGAAGTCAAAAGAGCCCTGGAATGGCTGGGTGGTGATCGAAATGAGGGTCGCCGACATGCTGCTGTAAGTAAATAAGCACGAACTTGAACTTATTACATGATTTTTCAATAACTTGTACACTGCATAATTTGATGTGTTGATTTTGTTGCAGGTCAAATTTGATTTCAGGTTAAATTTTTTAACGTAGGTTGAAAATCAATCAAATTTGACCTGTAACATACACATGTTTCAGCTCCACATTCATCCTTTAAGCACCAAAATTCTCTAGACTGATCTCCATGCATTTCCTTAAGTAATGGTTCAGATAAAAAGGAAAGCAACAACGGCTTTGAACATGTTGGAATGAAAAAGGTGCTAACTTTACTATTGTCTGTACTACACTTGTGATTGGCTTAAATGGCAAAAGTTAAGAAAACTTCCTAAAGCTGTGGCAAAAGTTAAGAAAACTTCCTAAAGCTGTACATATAATTCATCTTACTTTTCCAAACAACTTCCATATAACAAAATCGCATCTCAATCTGAATAACATAGAAATCCTATGTGGGGAAATTGTAAAATTGTAAACTTTACTTTTCTTGGCTATTGTTGCAAGTCTTATGATTGGTCAAAATCTTTTAACACAAAAAAATACATGTACCCTTTCAAGATGGGGTTTAAATACATCATTTTATCATGTTAACAAATGGCCTTTCTGTAGGTTTATGCATTCTCTATGTAAAAATGAGAACATTCCTATGTGGGGAAAGCGCTTGGTGCATAAAAAAAGTAAATCCTTTCTACCTTACCCAGATCATTACTTAATGAATTAACTTTTCTCTTGATTACATGCATTTGTTATACAGTGTATGGCTACAATAGTATGTGCAGCTAGATTGGCTGCTAAGTGGGCATTATTTTCTTGTAATGACCGGGCACTACTAGCTACAGTGTAGGTATCCAAGTCATATACACGAACAGTCTGTGTTTAACTTGACAATCTGTGTTTAACTTGATGTGTATTTTACTAACCATAACACTGGCTTTTTGAAAGCCATGAGGTTAATTATTGGGCTGCCTGTGGGAGAGCCAATGGAGTTGTCAGTGGCCAGTCGTATCCGACTGAAAGATGCTTTTTAAATCTTGTAGGTGTTGGTACTGAAAGAGTTGGCTTTGAATGCACCAACCTTTTTCTTTCAACAAATTCAACCCTTCTTTGAGAACATTTCCAATGCAGTACGTGACCCAAAGGTTAGTAAAAAATGATTTTTACTTTAATACTCCTTTCATGGAAACATAGTACTTTTGCTTTCTCTAATTATTACAATGTAACTACATGTAACCAACATACCCTCCTGGGACCAACAAGGAGTCTCCGTCAAAGAGAGCATTGAGCCTTACTGGTAATTAAAGAACATGAAACAACAAGACTGAAAGGTAGCAGGGACCATCTCTACGTGTAGATGCCCATTTTAGAGAGGTGCCTGTCATTATAGAAGTTCCTATTCAGAGAACTGACTGCAAATCTTCGTGCAGTGTTCTTACCACTATTTTTACTTTTCCTGTGTTGTTTTGGTTTATCAACAAGCTGTGACATTTTGATTTAGAATTAATTTATTATTTTCTCCTCTAATGTTTTAAATTTGGCCAAAATGTAATACATGTATTTAGGTGAGGTTAAACGTGAGACAAAGCTGGCCAAGGATCTCCATTGCTAATCGTATGTGGGGTGGGCTTAGGGCTTTTTCAAGGCCACAGTATTTTTACAGCACTCCCGCTCGTGTTGTCTTTGCTTGTGCTTGTGTCAAAGCCTTTTTGCTCCCAGCCCTTCCTTTCCTCAGAGTGGGTCTTGGTTCATGTAAGTATCTGAAAATTTTCCACTGGAGTTCTCAGTGTGATGGTGCCTGGTGGCTGCTGCTCACATGGTTGTCATGGTTACCTTCACGCTTGCTTGTGGCCCTCTCAGGTTACTCAGACACCCTCCCCACACCCATAGATTAACGATGGGTTTAAATGGAAAATTGGCATGGGAAAACAAAATTGACTACAATTTTGCATGTAGGCTACCATATTACATAATTATTATGTCGTACAGATCCCTCAGCAATTTATACAGTAGATGCCAAATTTTATACAATACATGTTCACTACAGTATTTAGATCATTCATAACATTATGCACTGCTTGCCTTCCTAGCTACTATAATTATTACAAACTAACAGGGACTTACATGTACAGTGTAATATGGATACTTAATTATTGCAGCAAGCTATCCGTGAAGGAGCAGTGGAAGCATTACGAGCCTGCCTTGTTATTCTGGCTCAGCGGGAGACTAAGGAAATGCAAAAAAGACCAATTTGGTACAATGTAAGTTGAAGCATTTAAATAGTTGAAGTATTCAAGATCCAGCTCATTAAACTTTTAGCACTCGGGCCCTTGTTTACATTTAACAATATTAGATGAAGTTTTTGTGATACCGTACAGTGTATTCAGAATAATTTACGATGCCCCCTTTGTATGCACAGATCTGTGTATGTGCCAATATAAGAGCAACCTTAAATGCTTCGCAATCAAGAAAGCTGGTAGAAACCGAGCCTGTGAAGGCGTTATTAACAGAAACTCAGAGGTACATATGTATAGCATTATACCTGTAAGAAAAAGTCATGTATTGCGCTGTACATGTGGGAACGTGGGTTAATTTGGTTTGTTTTGTTTTCTTGGTAGCAAATTTACGAAGAGGCAAAGAAGGGTTTTGAAGATGCACTTAACACAAAAGAGAAGGGAGTTGTTTTAACCAAGGATGACAAAGCACATGGTTCTCTGCTGATTATGAATGAGCTGATTAGGAGTGCAAGCTTTGAAGGAGAGGTATACATGTATTATTGTTGCTTCGATCAATAATATTCACACAACTGTGGACTGGTCTTAACATGTACATGTAGCTGTGTAACACTTTATATTTTTAATTCCATCTCATGGACCAAGCAAAATATGAATTTTTTAGTTTTTGTTATGTCAATCTGTAAGTTTTAAAGCGGACAAAATTAATAGTGATACATGGTGTATTTGTATAGGTAATAGCATGATTTGTAGTGATATTATTTGGCATAAATACCACAAGTGATATTTCGAAATTGTTGTACATAAGTTGATGAGCCGTTAGGTGAGTGAAATTACGAGACAATTTGGGAATATCACAAGTGGTATTTATGCCAAATATCACGTACAAATCATGCTATTATTTGTTTATACTACTACCTTCAAAGGTTTTGTAATTTTCACATGTAGGTATTTCAAATGAAGCTGAAATACCACTGCTCTAAGCCAATCAAATTGCAGAAATTTCTCATGTACGTGTAGTAGTATAAACAGGTAAATGAATCAATAAATAGTAATACTATTGTATTTAATTCCGAGTAACCCACATTCACAACACTTCCGAATGATTTGCAGCGAGCCAAGCAAGAATTAGAGGAAATTTACTGTGATCAAACACAAAGCCAAGTCAGCCTAGATGATCTGGGTATCACCTCCCCCAAGAGTAAATTTGCCCTACAAACTGGCTACCAGCATCAGAGGTCACTTGCATTACTTGCCGGGGGAGGGATGGGGGAAACTATGTGCCACAGCAAGGTCTGCAGGGAATATATGGATGATCATTTTGAAGAGGTGAGAGGAAATAATATTTTTATTGTTGTTTAATTTTCAGTGAAGTTTTTTTGTCTCTTTAACAAACAGAGCTTATAATGCTGATGAATAATGGGAAAAAGCACACACCAGAATGACATTACATGTCAGGGCTTCTGATATTTCGCGCGGTTGCAGAGCCGCGAAATACCGTGAAATTCAGTAGAAATCTTATCAAATACATGTCTGTACAGCAATGTTGAAACTTGTCTCCGCTACTGGGGGTATTTACTTGCCGTAAAGTCGCAAATTTATGTCAAAACGTCATCACTGAAACATGCAAACAACGTTCCGAAACTACCAGGCGTAGATTATGTTGTGGAAAACTGGGCAATAGCCATGATGTTAAAGGCTTTGCCATTGGTTCATTTCTGGAGCGTATTGTTGTTGAAAGAGCAAATGATGACCTCTGTTAGAAAAACATTAAAAATGCTGGTTTGATCAGCGCAAAACTGATCAATTTCTAGTGAAATTTGCCCTGAAAATAACCACAAAATCCGCCGTTTTTTTACTGAATGCTTTCCGGTCAAGTGTGCCCCGAAAATTCCTGTAAAATTTCCACAAATCACGACCTATCAGAAGCCTTGATATGTAGTTCCATTATGCTCATGGCATGAATGTCAAGCAAGTGTTTTGCGTGTCAGCTAGTTAAAAACAATGTGAACAACGACAACAATACTTGTGGTACAGCTCAAATGTAACTTGACAGACACTTTTGTCTCGACCCCAGAGACTCAAGACTGTTTCTTGCATGTTAGTGTGTTTTGGCTAGAGAATCAAGTTTGGAGGATCTAGTCAAGATTGTCTAAAACTTACCTTTCTTGCAATTGTAATTGTAATTTGTTTACCCATGGAGCACTAAGGAGTTCATAAGAACTTGTTGAAACGTGTCCGTGCGTGCCAGATCGAATTGGAATTTGAAAGTGTTGGTTTTTAAGGAGAGGGGGAAAATCAGAGTACTGGGAGAACAACCTCTCTGAGCAAGGGAGAGAACCAGCAACATACTCAACCCACATATGGCATCGACGCCAGGATTCGAACGGGGGCCACATTGGTGGGAGGGGAGTACTTTCACCAATGCGCCACCCTTGCTCCCCTTAATACCTTTGAGTGGTATTGTACATAAAGAAAGTTGTGGGTACACCCCTAGCAAGAAAAACTACAGTGTCCAAGATGACCTGATGGCTAGAGGGTAAAGCATTATTATTATTTTTATTCTTCTGCTCATTTTTCTTGTTTTAGGTGTGCAAACTAGTTTTGAGATACAGAACAACGAGAAACAGCTCCATTCAGCAGATGTTACTTACTATTTTGCCTAGACTTGCTGCATTCCAGTCTGTCAGATTTGTCAAAAAGTTAGTCCGATGAGTATTTAATTTACATTTTTTGTTGGTGTAAAACTATACATGAACTTTTAATTGTCTGTCATGAAGAACACTTTGAGACAGAGAGAGGACTTTACCATAATTACCTTTTTTTTTTACTTTAGATATCTAAAAGACACCATGGAATACCTCTCTTCTGCCCTAAAAAGGGTGAGTACCAACTAATGCCATAAATTATTATTTTAATAGTACTGCCCAGCAGGCACTTGTTCATTTACTTTCTGGTATTACATGTGTTTATATTTAAGCAATAGAAAACGTTTTCTGTGTTTGCATAGCCTGATATAAACACAAGAGGGGTTGAGGGAGAATTCGAGACAGTCATGCAAACCCGGGACGAAGTCGAGGGTTTGCATACATTGTAACTGTCGAGAATTCTCCCAACCCCTTGAGTGTTTATATAATAAGGCTATGCAAACACAGGAAAAAAGTTTTCTATTGCTTTTATAAAAATCAATAAATAACTTTCCCAAGAAAAAACGCAAAACTCTTTGTTATGGCACTGATTAAAAGAGAAATTCTTACCAGTTGTAGAGTCTTGTACATAAAGTCTTGCACGCGTAATCAGTTCTTGTATTGCAAAACGATACTTTTCAGAAATTAATACAGATTTTTCTTGCTTAAACTGTCAGCTTAAACAAAAAAAAAATGACATACCTTCTTTGTAACGATTTTCCAAGTTTCAGGCAACAGAGGAATGGGTAAATAAAGTAAACTTGTCGAGTTTTGAACTAAAAAACTTTTTCAAATTGAATTAAATGTCATACATTCAAATTAAATTAAATGTTATACATTCCTGACACGATTGTTATAACTGACATCAAAATTGATGCTCGTCCTTACATAGTTATGTCAGACTTCCTAACCTTGCAGAGCTTTCAATAACTCATTTTGTCCTATAAATAACCATAACTAACTAGTGAATGATTTTGCTGTCAGGAAAGAGAAAGATCTTCAGCATTCAAAGCCACTGGGTTGATAGCTCTTGCCGTACGTCATGACATAGAGAGGTATAGGGGACCTGTGTTTGAACAAGTGAAAGCTTTGTTCCCCATGAAGGACCTTGGGCACAAGTAAGGACACAATTTCATTGTTTATGCAAAATTTGGGAAAAGTATTGTAATACATGTAAACCTTGTCAACATGGCTGTAAGAAATGCTGTGATTGAAAAAAAAAAACATTGTCACTTGAAAAGTTTAAACCATGAAAAATGGGACCTAATGGATTTACGGGTAGAAGTTACATTTACATGTAGCTTTACAAATTTAAAGTTCTTTCCAGAAAAGTTTAATTATCAAAGCTTTTTGCAATGATGCATTCCAAAAAAGTACAAACAGTTTCCAGTTTTCTTGGGGATAAGCTCACAACTTCACCTGTGCAGGGAACATCAGAGATCTCTACAGTATAGCTATATCACTAACACACACTTTAAAACATAAGATAGGACCTAAAAGCTTTCTTGGCAGACTGCATAAAAACACAATTGTATGCCTTAAACAAAGCACTCCAGGGATTTGCATCCACACGAGAAGCTCATGACAATGTAAACTTGTGATGGCGGAAAGAATTTGCTTTGCTAATGAGCATATATACCCATAAATCCTTGAAGCCTCCTTGTCTATGGTGTATACTTCTTGAACGACAATGTTTTTTCAATCAGGTATATACAGAATTATACTTACAGTACCGCTCAAAAGTAAATTGACACTTGAACCTCAAAACTCGTAGCTTGATCCTTGCGTCTCAAGGCTTGAACGCTTCGAGTTTCGAGATGCGAGGATCGAGTCTTGAGTTTCGATGATCGAGGATCGAGGATCCAAGAAGCTGAACAATGTTGTACAGTCACGTAGCTGTTCAGATATTCGCACCATCGATCGGTGCTTGCAGTGCGGTGTTCTGTAACTGTTTGAATTGTCGGGTTTCGGCAAGCTTTCAAGTGTAAATTGATATTTTCATTTTCGAAGATTTATCCTGCATGTACCCCTGAATGCGGCAGTTTTTTGCCATTGTTTTACAGTGAATTGACCTATAATGAAAAGAGTGTGATATAAACTTTGATTGCAGCTTTTATGTTGCCACATTATTGTTGGTTTCATTAATTTTCCTTTATTACTTTTGATGATATATTATTATGCATTTTGTGCTAGGCGGCAAAAAGCAGTTACAGTTGATCCAATGGTGTTTGCATGTGTCGCTATGATGTCACGTGCCATTGGACCAAAGATCTCTAAGGAAGTCAAAGATTTGCTCGAACCAATGCTGTCAGTTGGTTTAAGGTGAGTCATTCATGCAATCTGTATTTTTATCCATTCTGATTAAAAAACCAGTACATAGAAGTACACAGAAAGTGGCCCAGTACATGAAATAATTATAATGATTATTTTTCTTTATCTTTTGTTTTTGCAGTCCAGCCCTTACAGCTTGTTTACATGATTTGGCTTGCCAAGTGCCTCAACTTAAGAAGAATATTGAAGGTAAAATTTAATGCACGCATTATTTTCACTCAGCCTCTTTGTGAAGGTCTTAATATCCAGTTATACAGGTAACTCACTCAGGTTCCAATAAGTTTTAGGGCTTGTATGTATCCTGAACTTTTTGTGTACTTGCATAAATCTTACTGACTTAAACATAAAATAATATTACCCAATACAGTACATGTACTTTAACTTCTTTTCCATGATTTTACAGATGGTCTACTGAGAATGCTGTCCATGATCTTAATGCAAAAGCCAGCACGCCATCCTGGGGCGCCAAGAAGTGCCACGCCCACACTCACCCCATCTGGTATGGTAATTTCTTTTCTCAATATTCTCCTTACAACTAAAATAAGACAGTTACAACTGTAGAGAGAATAAACTATAATTATCTATATTGTTCTATAACCATGGACATTGTGATTTTTGAAACATTTTTATGGAAGACTGATTCAGTAGTAGATTTATAAACTGATTTGCTGTATGCCATTCTAGGAAAGTGAACAAAAGCTGTGTTAGTTTGGGTTGTATTCCTTTGGGCAGCCAATAAAACTTTGGTTATTTCATTAGATCACAAATGATAGTCCCTCTTTCCTCAGAATCATGCGCAGCATGCAAGCAAAAAAGTAAAATTACGCAAATTTATGGAAAAAAAAAGAGGAAAAATTTGGGCATAATAAAGAGGAAAAAGGACAGTCACAGACTTAGGTTTCTGTCCTTGTTACTTGCTACTTTGCTGCTGACTACTCACGTGTGGTCTTGATCTATTGTGACTCAAACAAAAAGTACGTGATTGATTGTAGTCTATTGTTTAATTATAATAATTAACAGTTATTGAACGAGGTTGAGCAAAATACATGTACTGTGATTTGTCAGTGGTGAGCAAATCAATATTTGACCTTGGAAAATAATTGATATGCAATACACTGACAAATCACGGTATTTTGCAACAACCGAGTTAGTTAATTATTTTATGATTCAGTCACTGAGTTGGCCATGTTCATGAAAGGGCGAGCACGAGGAGAAAAGCGTGGCTTCATTTACGCATGAGCAGATTTTTATTTGCAGCCAAACACTAAGCCAAACACTTAACCAAACACAGTTGGATGAAACTGCACATGAGCAGATCATTATTTGTGAGCAGTTATTTGCAGGTCACGTGGTGGGCTCTTGGTCAATGAAAATGAAGAAAACTTGCATCAAGTGATAATAATTAATAATGAATACTCACCATTCTTCTTGTCATCAGCTTCATCTCATTTACTTTCTGATACCTTGGATGTCACCAGTACTGTGTTGGCTTTAAGGACTCTGGGAACATTTGATTTTGAAGGTGAGAACAAAGTAAATTCAAACCTCTGTTAAATGATGACCCTTGAGGAAGTGACAAACCTCAAGCTCGTATACATAATTTGAGCTATTTTCGTATGTTCTTGAAAAATGGTTTCGGTAAGTGTTCGTTATTTGTTTTATCACCCAATGGTTGAAAAGAACAAAACATGGACTCTTCGTTTTCCCGCCAAAGAAAACCCTAATATGGAGAAGGCATCGTTCGATTGACCAATCGTGTTGCAGTATGACGTCAAAGCGATTTCTATAAAGTTCTTCGGGCATGGAGTATTTTCAGCCGAGCGTTCGCTTAACCAACCAAAAGCCAGGTGCGTTTGTATCCATTCGATAAACCAATCAAATCACTCCATTTCCGTTCTTTTGTTGTTTCTATTTTGTTCGCGCGTTTTCATTTCAAGGTCATACGAAAATCGCTCTATGTACATGAATAGTGCAACTCAGGGGTAAGTGACCAATGCACTCACAAATCACACTGGCGTTTTTTGCGTTGACACAAATTTGTTAACATGTTTGTAAAAGCAACTTTGGGGTTTTCTTTTATCTCCAAGCTCTTACAACCCTTTCCAGTTATCTGTAGATTTTACAACAGTCTGCTCCAATTTGTAGCGCCATTTTTCATTAATTTGTTTGGCCTTTTTTTCTTGACAGGTCATCTGCTGGCTCATGGAAACCTTGTTCGGCACTGTGCTGACACTTTCTTGGCAAGTGAACACAAGGAAATTCGCATGGAAGCTGTGCGAACCTGCTCCAGGCTTCTGTCACCATCACTTCATGTAAGTTGCATTGGATAGATTAACAGAGGTCAAGTAAAGGAGTGTTCGTTTTAAAATTGTTGGCTGACTGTATTTTCCTATTGGATTGGGGGCGTTAATGTTTGTGAATTTCTTTGCAATGGTTAAAACATAAAACGAGATGAAATACAGTAAAAAAAAAAAGAAGAAAGGTTGTTAATTAATACATGTAAGTTTAGGGTCAAAAGTAGTTGACACACTTGTCTAAGACGGGTGCTTTTGTCGACAATTTCATTCATTTATTATTTTATTCTGCTTAACGCCAAAAAAATCCCCCACCCCCTAATCAATGTTGTTTGTAGTAAAAGGAGGGCTTGAGGGTGAAAAACACGACATTGGTATTTTGGGAAGGGGGGGTTACTCTGGGGGAGGGGGTACCTATGTCCACTGTTGAAAAAGGGGCCATTTTAGAGAAGTGTCTCAACACTTTGTCCCTCTTTGTAGCCTGTAAAGACCGCCGACATTTTACGACCCTACCCGACTGGTTTCCCAGCGAAAAAACATCTAAGGAACGACCATGGAAATTTCATACTGATGATTTGCCACTCTCCTAGACTACGAGTAGTCCCCCATTTTTTTCTCAGGGAGAGTAGAACGAGCGAAACGCGAGAGCACGTGAAAATCACCCCACGCGAGAAAGGCGATACGCGTGTCGCCTTTTCTCTCGTGGGGTGATTTTCACGCGCGCTCGCGTTTCGTTCGCTCTACTATCCCTGAGGAAAAATGGGGGACTACTCGTAGTCTACCACTCTCCAGATCTAGGTACTGTAGATTTGGGTTAAGATAGGAAACTAGAGGTGGGATGGCGAAATGTCAGCTGTTTTCTAAGGCAATAAAAAAAAGTAAAAAGAAATTAAAAAGTTTATTGTACACTCTCCTGCGGGACTTTTCAGCGATACAAGACAAAGGTATAATGCATTACAAAGGTTTTTCAAAAATATATATCTACCTAAAAGGTGTAAAAAAACCCCTAAGTTTCCGTTTAAAATTCCTATGGTACCAAACGTTCGCAGGGGTCAAGAAATTTCTGTAACAACGTTTGCTTTAGATTTTTTTAATATCCCTATGATTCTTACTTAATTTCAGGTCTTTATCCGGGCTGTTACTCAAACTGACAGCTCTGTACTGGAATGATCGTTCTCAAACTCATTAATTATTCGTAGAGAAAATACATAAGAAAATTAATGTTACATGAGTGTTTGGAAATTAGATGAAAAACTGCTCATTTTGGAATCCTTAATTTCTCCAACTAAAATCCTTTTAAGTTCGTCAAAAAATATTCCGCTGTGCGTATTTTTAACTGTCTTCTCGGTGTTTCATCTGGTGATGAAACACTGCGTCTCATGCTTGATATAATTATTACATCAAGTTTCAAATTAACTATTTTGAAGGATCAAGATATTCAGTTTTTTTTTAGGTTTTGGCTAAATTTTGACATTATTCTTTACACAGCCAATGGTAGTACCAACTGCCACACTCCATCATGTCTCCATCAGTGCCAGTTCAACTCAAGTTGTGTCGGAAGTTCTGTCCAAAATGATTATGGTGGGGATTACTGATCCAGGTGAAGTTTGCTGTCTTCGCTTGTTTGCTCCTCGACAAATTCAGGATGTTAAGGGATATTTAGTGTAGCTGATATTCTTCAAATAGCATTCATCGCCCGCTGAGTTGTATCTTTGCTGCTTTTGCTATGGTTTTAGAAGTTTGGGCATTTCTTCCAAGCAAAACTTGTGAATTCTTACAATGTACGCCGTTTTCTACGAAAACAACTGAATTAAGGTAACCTCGTCACCAGGGTTTCTCGGCTACCCTCCCTTTTCCTAGCGATTACTGAACTGTTGTCATTTAACCGGATATCGCAAACGTCTTTTGGTCAACGCTGTATGGTCATGAAACATTAGTCTCGGTTGATGGTATACTTTTTGTTGACAAAGTATTTTTCTGAAAAGCAAAGCATTCGGTCACATCCGACAATGTTCGAAAAATCTTTGCCCGCCTGCCACAAAATCCTAAATCGTAACTGCGTGCACAGTCATACATGATGACTGAACACGGATGAAATTGCCGATGACAATCACTTTGAATCTGAAGATTTGCATAGTACGTACAGTTTAAGGAAATCTAAATAAAGACAAATTACAGTGTAATATAATTATGACTGGAAACAACAACAACAAAATGTGTCAAACATATTTAGCATCGCTGAATGGCCTTTAACCCTTTAAATCCTAATAGTGACCAAGATCAGTTTTCTCCTAACAATATCCATACACTGTCAAGAGATAAGTTATGAGAATTAATAAAATGATCACCCAAGAGAGAATGCCTTGATCTATTATCAAATTCTCTTAACTAATTCTTTAAGGAAATGTATGAAGATCAGTTTGGAGAAATTGTATGTGGATATTGGGGCTTAAAGGGTTAAAAAAACATAACTTATGCATCATTTGTTTTTGTCTGTTTTTCCAGATTCTGACATTCGCTTTTGTGTGTTGTCTTCACTTGATGAGAGATTTGATGCTCATCTCGCCCAGGCTGAGAACTTATCAGCATTGTTTGTGGCTCTTAATGATGAGGTAGATTGGAAATACCGTAAAATTCCGAAAATTAAAGCCCCTCCATGTATAAACCTCTCCAAATATAAGCCCCCCAAACCAGTAACGCAAAAAACCCTCCGTTAAATCGCCCCTCCAAATATAAGCCCCCGGGGGTTTGTACTTGGAAAATTACCCTCAAGTACAAAGTAAAACAAAGCAAAAACGTTAAATTTACCTTCAACTATAAGGCTAGCCCAATCGATTTTGAAACGCAAATTTCCCTCCGTAGATAAGCCGCTCCGAAAATAAGCCCCTCCAAAAATGAGCCCCTTAAAAAGGGCCTTAGAAAAATATAAGCCCTGGGGCTTATTTTCGGAATTTTACGGTATTTGTACATCAAAGAAATTTTCACAAAGACGATTTTTTGGTATTTTATTTAAGTTTTTTTTTTTGCAAGTACAAAAACAACATAACTGTTTTGTATTGTTGTCCATCAACAGGAGTTTGAGATTCGTGAGCTTGCAATCTGTACTATTGGTAGACTAAGCGGTTTGAATCCAGCATACATCATGCCATCACTGAGGAAAACGCTTATTCAGGTACATGTCTTATTATGTAATCATATATAGTTATGGACGATTCAGCAAGTTAACTGTTTATTCCACCAGTTTAGACCTAACAAGCTTGTCCAATAAAGGATTTTTTTAATGACCAGGAGCACTTTCTGTATGATACTAATCAGTGCAATTAATGTTCATTTTTTTTTTAACTTTTTTTATTTGTATTTTTTCCAGGACGCACCTTTTATAATTGAGCATTCCTTAAAGGGTTGTTATTTTGATTGTCGTTTTATTTGTTGTTAGATACTGACGGAGCTGGAGTACAGTGGAGTGGGTCGTAACAAAGAGCAAAGTGCCCGGATGTTGGGTCATCTTGTGTCCAATGCACCAAGGTTGATTAGGCCTTACATGGAACCAATCCTTAAGGTCAGTTATAGTATGGCAGTTTATCTCTATATAACCTGTTGTTTTATTCCAGGGTCTGTCAATTGTTACATTTTTTTGCGTAGCTATATCTTCGCTCGCTTCAGACGCACCAGTTTGGAACATGGTGGGTTTACTAATTTTACGGTACTCTTTCCAGCAGCGTCATTGATCACTAGCTGGTCGTAGCAAGTCTTCCTTTCTTAGCTTTGTAGGATTGTATAATTTTTAACTTACCTTTTAGCACTATATGTACGAGTTACACCATGGCTGTAACAACAAAATAACCACCTTTCCAGTAGGCATCTCTCTCATCAGGGGAGCTTAAGCAACGACGACGGCGACGGCAACAAGAACGGCAAAAAAGCAATAGGTTTAGATTAGCAAGACAACAACTTTGCACGTGCATCACGCTTTTTTGTACATTTCTTTGCCGTCGCTGCACGAGTACAGCGTGAAAGTACCTAAATTCACGTTTTGTCGAGGTTGGGAACACAAGACAACAACTTTCTTTTTATTTTCCTGAACTGTGATACAGTCCCTTACAATTCAACACCAAAGACCTTTGCCAACATTTGACCAATTGAACGCGTCAGAATAAGCGCGATGAAGTTTGAAGTAGCGCGAATTCACTTTTTTAAGTCACGTTTTTGTAGCAGTCGCTGTCGGCGAATCTGCACCGAGTCAAAGTCTAGTATTTTCTTTTGAGGAAATCTGTGCCTAATGTAACGATATCAACAGCCCTAACCTTGATAAAGAAGATGAAAAATTTTGAAGCCCTCCAGGTGTACTGAAGAGGCATGGTATATTGCTAATATAACTATGATAAACATTGTTATATTTTCCAGGCACTGATCCCCAAATTGAGAGACCAGGATCCCAATGTAGTTATCAGTGTGTTGGCAGCAATCGGGGAGCACGCCCAGGTTAGTACAATCATCACAAAGTAGCCTTCCTTCCCAGTGGTGCAAGTGAGAATCTTCTGAGAGGTTGATGGGGTGATTTTTTCACTATAAGCCAACGAATCCTCTACGTGGTCGAAACTATCCATGGAATTTTTTTGGACGCATCCTTTGAGATTTCCACGAGTTAAGCTCACAACTAAAAATTGCATAAACATGACATATGTTCATTTCTCTTCCAATCAGGTCAGCGGGACAGAGATGAGTAAATGGTTAAATGAGCTGTGTCCTATTATTTTGGATATGTTGCAAGATGCATCGCTTATCGCCAAGCGAGAGGTAAGTGGGCTGCTCCCAGTTACGACCCACTCAACTGTACGCAAGCTCGGTCTATAAAAACAAACCGTTTCACCCGCCCCCAAACTACGCCTGTACTGTAGGCTGTGGCATGGGTCGAGGACCCGGGGGATGGTACTCAACAAATGTTTATACGGGGAGGCTAAGCTCACACTGGCTAGGACCAACCCATTACCCTTTTATATACCATTTTTCAAGAAAAAGGTACAGTGTACCTCTTTCGTATATCTTCTATTGACAAATGGTACCCCGTTATACATACCTTGTTTAGAACTTTGCACCCTTTTCAACTGCTGTAAATGCACTGCAATCAATCACAAAGATAGAACGATTCCTCGACTTTATAAAGCCATAAATTTCATCTGTTAGAACTTTTGGGACCTTTCACAGACTCAAATGACAGGTTTCCTACCCTTTTGTATACTTAACTAGTGAAATCCCTACCCGTTCATATACATGAAGCCTGAAGCCTCCCCGTATGGGCCATCATACGGAATACCCCCCCCCCCCTCTCCCAGGGTCGTGGACGAAGAGTGCTCCCTGGTGCGTCATTTTGAAGATGCGATAATCAGCTTGCTGACTATTTCTAAGTGCCTTCTTAATTTTAATATAATCTGATTTTGTGTTTCACCACCAGATTGCCCTTTGGACCCTTGGTCAGCTTGTTGAAAGCACTGGGTTAGTTTTAATTGTAAAGATTTCGCAGTGCGCACTAAACGAATTAAGGTTGTATGCGGCCCCTGTTCTAAGAAGACCTCTTTGTTTGCCTGATACGGATATTTGTGCGAATGTGGTTGATTTTTCTCAAATCTCAATCTAAGATTTGGATGTTTTTCCCCAATTAATAAATTTTGGCGAAAATTTGTTCCTTTTATGATTATACTCGATTTTTCTCTTTAATCGTAAAAACCTAAGCCTTGCGAATTTTCCTCTGGTATTTTTGCACTATAATTTGATTGCGAAAAAATTAGAATAAGGTGTACTTTGAAATTTATCATTCGTATTTTATTGATTTTATTACAGATACGTTGTAGAACCTTACAGGAAATACCCAAATCTTTTAGAAGTCCTGCTGAATTTTCTGAAGACGGAACAAGCACCAGGAATAAGAAGAGAGGTAACTGTTGTCGGATCATTATACACAGGGATCGCCTAAGCCAACATTTTGCCTTAAGTGAGAAGTAAGTGTTAATGATGGCTTAGGGGAAGGGGTAGGTTGGCAGTGTCCCAGGAACTTAAAATGATCCCTGTCAACTCACTAAACAGATCGCATAACATCTGAAGATGCATTGTACCAATGAACAGCACCAGACGTTTGGATACCTCTCGGGACCAGTGATTTATGAGCCATGGGTCTCGAAGCTTCTACCGTATTTAGAACCACAAGTATTACTGGGGGATTTTGTGCCACTTTTTGTATCTTGGGTGTTTTAGAGATGTAGTCGCATGTTATCCAAAGACGATTAATTTTAGGCCTTAATTGCGTGGAAAACCTTTTTCAATTGACCCTTTCAACCCAATCACGTCAGTTACTGGGTCTGAATCTTACTTAACCCTTTGAATCTCATAGGTGGTGAAAGTCTACATAATGTTAGACAAAAATGTCAAATTTCGTTTTGTAAAGTGCCGAAAAACGAATAGTGCTATGCAAGTGGCCCGCCTAAGAGGTTTTATTTAAATAGTCACACCATAGGATCTCATCCGCAGAGTCAAAAGTTAGAACCTTTCTTTCATTATACAAGACTCCGTGATTCACTAAGGGGCACCCAGCGACCGAATGTTTCCAAATACGCCAAGATGGTTTTCTCTATGCTTTAGAAGCCTGTTTGGTTAATTTGGAGTTGCCCTAAAAACTATTTATCTGTTCGGATGTCTTAGAGGAACTTTGTTCGTCACGAAAGTTTTAGGTGGGTGTTTCGTTTCATTCGAAAGTGTTAGCTACCTTTATGTGTCTGGTCGAAAGTTCGAAGACATGAAGTAGCCTTGCTTTCATCAGAAAATTATAGGGGACGTTTTGTCTGTATACCGAAAGTTTTAGGAGACCTTTTTTTAACAATAGTCGCAATATCTTGGTTTTAAAATGTGAATAACAACTTCCGAAAATCGTAGTTAAGCTATTAGAAAACCTTCGCAATCCCACCTTAGTCACTATCTGTTTATGTATCTACCTTATAAAGCCTTTTAACTTGGTTATCCTGAAATGAACTAACACATTTGTTAAACTTAATGTGGCTTAAATCTTTCTATTTCTAAATCCCTACATACCTGATTTTCTGACCCTTAAGACCCTGAAACTGTGCGACCCAATTAGTAACTTTTATAAAAATGCAACCCCATTGTAGTCAATCCAGTCGTAAAAATGCGAACCCGTCCAGTGGCTCATACCCATTAACTTACTACTAGGAACTACGCTAGGAAGTACGTGTACCCCCCCACTCCCCCGCCCCGGGGGCTTTCCTTATTCAGCATTAGTGGAAGTTTCTTCATACTGTAGAGAAACTGTAGGCCGACTTTAATTAAGTCTGACTTGTCATAACCTAGGCCATTAGAGTGCTTGGACTTCTTGGGGCGTTAGATCCTTATAAACACAAACTGAATCAGACAGGAGGGATGCTCGTGGACGGTGACTCAGCAGCAATTAGTAAAGACATTACGGACAACGATGCAGGTTAAAATATTGCATTTCTATTTTTTTCCTTTTCACGTGATGTTCATTACGTTATGTTCTTTGTCAAGTCCACCGTAATCTACTTTTCGAGTTGATAACATGTTATTTTGCGCTCTATTCAAACCACCCAAAATGTAATGCATATCTTCTAATAACCTCGCTTTCTTAGTCCGTAAAGAAGTTCGAGGTCATCAATCTTGGTTATGGGTCCTCGTTCTTATTGTTGTCATTGGGGTTATTTGTTTTTGTTGTTTATTTTGTTTTGTTTTGTTTGGGTTCTATCTTGCCTGCGTTGATCCCCAAGGAACAAAACAAACAAGCAAACGGATACAAAACGTTGGCACGCCACTTAAAGTAGTCGTGTTCAGACCTCGAAATTGGCGAAAACGAGTACTGTGCACCATACAACCTCTCTACAAACGGCCACCTTGGTGACACAAGAAAGTGGCCATTGTAGAGAGGTTGAAACAAGAGTCAATGTGTGGACTGTCTGCCAAAAAAAATGGCTGTTATGGATAGGTGGCCGTTAGTGGAGGCTCGACTGTAGGACATAATTGTTACACCGTTATTGGTTTATCAGTTCTTGTTGTTTTTGGGCATGTGTACTGTAGTTGCAAAGTACAAATTATGATGCAAAATTGCTTGCAAGGGCAAATAAGTTATCTTACCATCAAGTACATATACTTGCACTTGCAGTTGACACGAACACAAGCGAGATGTTAGTTACTATGGGCAGTGTTCAGTTAGAGGAGTTTTACCCTGCTGTTGCGGTATCAGCACTTATGAGAATTGTCAGGGATCCGTCTCTCTCAAGTCATCACACTATGGTTATACAGGTACATAAGTCCTGGTTTGCCCTTGTTTGCATAACCGCATCTCGTTGTTTTGCCTAGGGGTAAGGCAATTGGTCAATTGTCACTACCTCCTTTAGAATGTCATCAGACATTTCCATTGTGTATACCTTGCCATTTATGAGGGCTCCGTAAACGAGTTTCCGGAAATGCGGCCTAGCTTGTAGAGATCGGATTAACTTATTAGGACGAAGGAAATCTGCGGAAGCTTTTCATGAAGTCTTCTTCTTATTCGGTAGGCTGCATGCAAATGGACGCAACAACTCCCAACATTGTTGCGCCAACAACATTGGGAGTTGTTGCGTCCGTGTTGGTAGTGGTGTGCAAACGGATGCAACATGTAACATCCAACAATGTTGGGAGTTGTTGGTAAACAACGTTGCGCCCGTTTGAACGGAGCCTTAGAGTACTGTGGCTATCCAGTTGAGATACACCGTTTTGAATTTGTTTTTTGGGCGGTCTGCGCATGGGCAGATGGCAAAATCACTTACCAAAAAATGTAATTCAACTAGATTCGTCAGTTCTGTGTGAACATTAGAAAATATTAAAAATGTTCCGACTTTTTTACTTGGTGTTCAAGTGTAGTGCACTAAACGAAGCCTTGGTTATGGTAACTATTTGTGAGGATATATACTCCACTGTTCAGTATGCGTATAAATTGATGCCAGTTTACCTAACCTAAGATAACATGTTTTTACTTTGTCATTTTCTCCTTTACAGGCAGTAACATTCATCTTCAAAAGTTTAGGAATGAAATGCGTGACTTATCTGCCTCAGGTATTTCTGCGTTCATACAGATGTGTACCCGTTTGTTCTTAAGAACTGTTTTATCCCGCAGTTCCTTGAAAGGTGCTAACTCTTTATGTTCTTGTAACTTTTAGATCATGCCTTCGTTCCTAAATGTCATCAGAACCTGTGATTCCTCATTCAGAGAGGTGCGTCAACATTTCATGTTCTCCTTTCATGTTTGTGGTACTTTTACAGGTTTTTGTTGTTGTTGTTGTGGTGGCTTAGATAGTTGCAGATGCCCGCAGTTGTTGTATAGCTACTCTTATACAGTGTTTCTAGGGAAGCAGTTACACTATTTTTATTGTCGGTCCTATTCTTTTGTATCAAGGTACAGATTAGGGGTTTCGGGTAACAAGTCATCTTCACGTTTTTGGCTGCTTGCTTAGCGTTCACGTGCATAGAAGTTTCACTGCTAGCAAATGACATCCAGAGACCTGGAGGTTGGAATTTGTGGAAGTGAATATATAATTTTGTAGTTATTTATAAAAATCAGCCATGTTTTGTGTTTTCATATTCCTTTTCAGTTTGTACTTCAGCAGCTTGGAGTTTTGATTTCCATTGTAAAGCAGCACATCAGAAATTATCTGGACGAAATTTTTGGTTTGATTAAGGTGAGACTTTGTACTTTGTTGTCCAGCACACTCAAACATCCCTATTGCCTTGTAAATTCGACGCAAAGAACGGCAATAGGACTGAAAGGGTTAATAATAATGCCACTGGATGAAACTAGTATTAACCCTTTCACTGCCAAATGTGGCCAAAGCAAATTTCGTTTTCTAACATTTGGCAAACAAATAGCGTCGTGTGAAAGTATAGGCAGAGAGCTTTCATTTGAATGGTCACATCATAGGATTTCGTCAGCAGACTCAAAAGTTAGAGTCGCCGTACAAAACTCCATCAAGTACTCTGGCCGTGAAGGGGGTTAATACTCCTCACTCTTGTTGTTTTCTTAGGATTACTGGATTCTAAACAGCCCAATGCAGACAACGATAATTTTGTTGGTGGAGCAAATCGTGACTGCACTTGGTGGAGAATTTAAGGTAATTCGCTTAACGTTCCAGTTCCAGTTTACTGCGTTTTTCAAAAAACACGCGAACTCTGAAGCTCAGAAGCCAATTGACGTTCGCGTTTTTCGCTGCCGACAATCATCTTAGCGGACCTCTTAGGAAACAGAACTTTACTTAAGTGTCTTTTTCCCCTTTTAATACTCTTGACCCCTTGAATTAATGGTTTAATTATATTTGAAATTGCCTTTGTCTTTTGCGTTAACTTGAAGTGCTTGTCATTGGCTTTCGATGGCCAGCATGGGAACAGACTGCAACTTGAACAAAAGGGGCTATCCTTTTCAAGTTAAATCCCTGTGTTGTCGAAAAATGACTAAAAAACGATCCCTGCTTTGTTTTCCCTTGATAGAATCATTTGACAACTTCCTTTCATAGTTCCAAGTATTAGAATGAAAATCTTTAATTTCTTCTCAGATTTGACAAAAGTAATGTGGAACTTGCCATGACATTACCCCTTTAAACGCAATGCTCCCTTGTTTAACTGATAATGCTTGTAACAGTTTTGCTCCAGTGGAGTGATTCAGCAGCTAGTGTCTTATATTTGTTGTTGCGCTTTTTGTTAGATTTACCTTCCTCAGATCATTCCTCAAATTCTCAAAGTGTTTATGCACGACAACAGTGAGCAAAGAAGTGTAACAACAAAGGTAAATATCACAATTTTTATATTTTCCCGGCTCTGATATGCACCGAGTATTTATTTGTTAGCTAGTTGCTTATTTTTTTTGGGTATTTTATTTTGGACAGATTTTGTCCTCAAATGAATTAATAGAGACAATTCTATCTAAGGGTCTTTTTGCATGGAAGGAAGGAGATAGTCATCAGTCTATCAGTTTCAGGTTGAAAATTTCTCAAAGTAGAAAATAGACACAAAAAACAGCTCAAAACAATTCTTATGGATTGAACAGACGTAAAAATACTTATTTTTTGTAGAAGTAATGAAGATTAAACGTTTGCGGTTTGCCGTAAACGTCCCTCTTAATCTCTCTACTGTTTAAGTTCTTTGCCCCGTTTAATACTTTTGACATGTTGAAAGGTTGATTAAAGGGCGTCTTTATAAATGTCCTCTCCTTTGTTATTTTTCAGCTGCTGAATGCTCTACAGATGTTCGGCTCGAGTCTTGATGATTACCTTCATCTGCTGGTACCGCCTGTTGTAAAACTATTTGACTCTCCTGACATCCCAATCACTGTTAGAAGGTCAGACTAACAGTTTACTATGATCAGTGTTGACCCTCGCATGTATTGCTTTCTGGCTATTACAGTGTTGCACAAGAAACTGGGTCAAAACTTCTCCCCCAAAACAATACCGTAGTGCAGTTCGACGCAAACCGACCCAGTCTGTCGCACAACCTTAAAATGAGCATTTGAATATCAGGATAGAATGAGTGTCCCATTCAGTCTCTCCGAGGTCGTTTGTTACTTCTTTCCCGGCCAATTTTTTTGAGCGCGCAAGTGAAGCGAGCTTGCGCCTAGCGGCAAATAAATCTCCATGTGGTTGTTTTTTTCATTTGCGCGCTCGACGATTTCTTAAAAAAAAAAAAATAAAATAAAAAAAAAATAGTAATAATAGAAACTAAAGGGTCGACAGACAGGCTGTGGTCCATTAGCAGTCGGTCTTTGCTCACAGGGAAAACGTATGCGTATTTAAGCGACGTTTGCTGTTCGCTGACTAAGCTAAGGAAATGAGTTCAGAGTCTGTGAGCCATCTTTCGGTTTTTGTTTGGAAACTGATGAAATACATGCCTTTTAAAAATGAACCTTCGAGCCCTGGGCTGTTTAAACTTGAAACTTGAATCTCTAATCTACAATCGGCGACAAAATTGTTGAGACATTGTACTTAAATAGGGTGACTTCAGAGAACAAAAGAATCCGCACCCCTCCCCTGTCCCCTCCATTCAAAGTTGGGGTGTTTGTTGTTTTCTATAGGTAGCTAGAACAAGGGCACAACATTGCACGGAGGGGATGGGGGAGGAAAGCTATATTTCCTCCTTTTGAAGTTCATAAAACGTTAAAAAGCCCACTTTTGGGCGAAGTGTCTCAACTCATTTTGTCGCCGATTGTCTGAACGGAAATCTTCGCGCTGTTGTTCTATTACCACCGGTTAGGAGACGGTAACTAGTTGAGATTACTATATTCACCGGGTCGTTTTTCAGAAGATAGATAAGATACCCATATAATCCGTTTCCTGTGTTTTTCGAGGGAAAATTAGTTTTGACAATCTTTGTACTCGGTAGTGATTTCAAGTAATTACGCAGCATACCCACGTACAGAATGATTGATTTTCCTCTGGTAACTAAGTGTGATCGGTAGGAAACGATGCCAGATAAGATATTGTATTTGAATATATCCCTAGTAAGTTGGAAGTGTTTCTTCGAAGTTTGGCTATTTGATAAGGGTGGGATGGACGATAAAATAGCCATGATTGCTATGCGCAGGAGAATGTTCAGGAAAAATGTTCCAACTTCTAATGCACAGCAAAGCTGCATAGCATCGCTAAATCTGTGCAGCAGATTCGTTGCCCATATACCCATAAGAGTCTTCGAAGAATGTACTTTACAGTCGAAACTATGAGGTCAGGAGGAGACTGGCCACGAGTAACCACGAGTAACCAACTTTGTTCTTAAAAGATAATTAGATTATTAAATTTTTTTACTCATCGTGGTTACTCGTGGTTACTCGTGGAAATTCCTCCTAAAGAGCAATTTTAGCCATTATAACTACTTTAATGCCTAGAAATCTATTAAGTTTTCTATGCTTTTCACTTTGTTCTTTGTTTCGATGCGTTTCGATAAAGGAAAGAATAAGAAATCGTGCCCGACGCGCCACGTCGCACGATGTCAAGGCACTGTTAAGCGCGACATGAAATGTCACGCACTGAAAATAACGAAATCGCCTTATTCTAATTGTTCTAAAATAGATATGATGAAGTCAAACATAACAAATAAAAAGCCACCAGGGGTCTTACATCCCAGCATAAAAAAAATGAATTCAATTAACTTTCTAAAGGAAGTACGGCCACTTTTGAGATTCAGACAATCGGCGACAAAATTGTTGAGACATTGTACTTAAATAGGATGACTTCTGAGAACAAAAGAATCCGCACCCCTCCCCTGTCCCCTCCATTCAAAGTTGGGGTGTTTGTTGTTTTCTATAGGTAGCTAGAACAAGGGCACAACATTGCATGGAGGGGATGGGGGAGGAAAGCTATATTTCCTCCTTTTGAAGTTCATAAAACGTTAAAAAGCCCACTTTTGGGCGAAGTGTCTCAACTCATTTTGTCGCCGATTGTAGCTAGTGTTCTGTTAAAGTTTTAACTAGTTAGAGAGGTGTAGCTTAGTTATGTAATGTTAGATGCAAGTAATGTTCCTTTCAGATGTGCCCTGGAGACCTTGGATCGCCTCAGTGAGTCTCTTGATCTGACTGACTTTGCATCAAGAATTATTCATCCTATAATCAGAACCCTGGACTCTTGCCCTGAGCTTCGCTCTACAGCAATGGATACCCTGTGCTCTTTAGTGTTTCAGTTGGGAAAACAGTATTCACCTTTTATCCCTACAGTTAACAAGGTAAAATCAAAATAAAAGCACGGGTAAGGGTAGTATGCTTCCAGATAAACTGTCCGTGTTCTTTCCCCGTTCTTCATGTCTTTAGAACAAGAATGTCATTCTTACCTTCCTTATTTGACATTCATTTTGGTAACGAAAAAAACAAACAAATGTTGGTTGATTTTTAAGACATGGCGGAAAACCATGGACAGAAAATCATCTTGTAGCCCTCCCAGACGTTTGGCGGGAAACAGCTGTATTGTCGAATACAGGTGGCCTCTAAGTAGCCAATGAGAGTGCGCGCTTTCGGGGAAGATATTCCATCTATATGGCCGTTAAAAATTGCATGCGAAGGGAGACGTATTTCCGGTGAGTGCTAACTTCCGGAAACCATCAAACCAAAGAAAGAGAAATGAGCTTTTATGACATAGTGGGGGTTTTATATGCCTTGTGACTTCAAATCTGATAGTAGTGCTTTACTAATCTTCTCATTGTGTTTGTAGGTGACAGTTAAACATCGTATTCAACACCAGCGTTACGACATTTTAATTTGCAAGATTGTCAAGGTTTGTACAGATTTACTGACTATAAACAAAACAGAAAGATTAACATTTGAAGATAGAGGATTTCCAAGTGGCCTTTGCCTCTTTTTCAATTGTTGTGATGCCCTACCCTGGGTTTCAGAGACTTCTGATGTGCGGTTTCGGTCCGGTTTCTAGTGACTAGCGTGAAAAGGAAGCTTTTTTCTCGCTGCCTTAGCTAAATCTTTCGGCCGGCCGAAGCATCCCGCCGCACGCGAGAAAAATACCTCTGGTACCCAGTAGGTGGTGGTCTTCCTTTAGTCAGTATGGAAATACGTTTTTATTCACACGCGCAAATTTAACTCATTGTCATATGGACAGTTGACACCCGGCCTCTCTCCTGCAGCGGGCAAAATGGTAGGAAGTAAAGAGACCTCTGCCGGCCCCGCCATGCGTTTCCGTTTACGCATGCACTGGCGTTTCCTTAACAGACAGTAACATTTCAGTCAAGTGCGACACAACTTACAGAACCGGTTTGCGCGATAATAACATTGGGCTCAGAAATACCCAGCTTAAGTCTTAACGGGGCATGCGCATTACATATTAGACGAAACTGGTTATGAAAACCAGTCAGTTTCGACCCCAAATATGGTCGGCGACTAAATAAAAGAACGCTTCGGAGGCCGGCAGAGTTCTGTCTCCTTCCTTCCATTTTTCTCTTGCCGTGGGAGACCTCTTCTAGCAGAGAAATACAGAGCCTTAAAGCAACTCGAAATTGGGGTATTGCCAAACTGTAGGATTAACCTGGCCTTTCTTGCCTCCATCTAGAGCCCATTTTTGTTAGATTGGGAGAATGAGGTGTTAGCTCGACGCCAAAAAGCTGGTCGAGGCAACTTGGCAGATGACTCCGCCACGAATGCTGCGATAGAAGCTGCGAGCATAAAGAAACTGACTTTTAAAGCAGACAGCCTTCAAAGAGTAAGAAATAGAATCACTCATCTCGGCCTTTTGTGCCTTCGTCAATACCTGTTCCCACATCTCAGCCTCCGTCCTTAAACCTCTTTGAATTTTTCCTGTGGTGTGATATTTTTCTGAAACCAAACGTATCTCTAGCCTAAGAAACCAGCCGACATTTTGCGACGCTACCACTGGTTTCCCCGCGAAATGACGAACGCAGAAATTCTATACTGATGACGTGTCACTACCCAGATCTGGGTGATCTTCTGATAGGTTGAAAATCCACTTCATCCAATCAGAAGCTCTACCCAGACCTGTGTAGCGACGCGTCATCAGTATGGAATTTCTGCAGCCGCTTTTCAGACGTCATTTTTTTGTTGAAACCTGTTCTGACGTTGCGAAATGTTGGCTTTTCCCTCACGTCAGCTTAAGCTTCTTTGAGCGGCCTTCTTGGAATACGTCATTTTGATAACGAAAAGCCACTTCTTTTTTGTAGGAAAAAAAGTTCCAAACTGATGGTAGTCTTTTTTCCGTTGTCATAGGCGTGGGGTGCTGCCAGGTGTGTGTCCAAAGAGGACTGGATGGAATGGCTTCGAAGACTGAGCGTTGAGCTGCTAAAAGAGTCACCATCTCCTGCCTTGAGATCTTGCTGGGCCACAGCACAGTCGTACCCACCCCTCGCAAGGTTGTACAATAGCAAGAAATGAAATATGCCACTGTATAATTACAGTTACGCTTTGGTTTCCGTTACGGTATACTGTTACCCCTTTTCACGACCAGGTGGAGTCTTTTAAGGTTGTTGCATAGCTTTTGAGTCTGTGGATGAGATCTTATGGTGTGACCATTCAAATGAAACCTCTTTAGCGGTGCTTTTAGTTGGTACTATTTGCTGCAAAATAAAATGTGGAAAATTTGATTTTAAGAACTTTTGGTAGCGAAAGACGTGATAGTGCTTGCGTACTTATTGCAGTTGGAGACCTTGTAAGCGGCCAATCTCCATCAGCTTACAGAGCAATACTTGCGTTTATTACAGAAAATGTGTACTTTGAGGCGGATGGTCTGTACTTGCATAAAGGATAACAAAAGACCAATTTTTAATATATTTAAATTCGAACTTGGCGGGGCGACGTAAAGGGACAAGACAAAAGTAATCGTCTTGAGTAATACACTTTTTTTTGTTTTATTCCTCCAAGTATCGGAGCCAGTATAAGTTTTAATCGAACTTATTCTACTGGATTTTAATTAAATGTTCTAATGTCTTCTTCTTATCTTGCATCCTTTAGAGACCTGTTCAATGTTGCCTTTGTTTCATGTTGGTCAGAACTTCACGAAGAACTTCAAAATGAGTTGGTGAAGCATTTGGAAATGGCTTTGGAGTCTCAGATCCCAGAGATCACTCAAACGCTTCTCAATCTTGCAGAGTTCATGGAACATACAGAAAAGGTACTCCATTATCTTTTGTGGCCACTAGGATGGGCGTTTAAGGCCCCTTTACACGGAACCGTGCAAATTCTATTGAAGATTGCAGTACTGCTTACCGTACAAAAAGTTGCTCGGTTCCGCGAGTACTGTGTGAACGAATGAATTAACGAAAGGTGAAACCGGGCAAATTTTTGTCCGTTCAAAAATTTGTCCGGACCCTTGTAAATTGAGTCTTAGTTCAACTAAATTTGACATATTGAAACTCAATTGCTAGCCTTTGCAGCAGGCGGCTTTAGGTGCGCCTGCGCCCAACTCCAAGATTCCGTTTTTTGGCGACAGTGCCGTGTGGGGTATTAGTAAAGCTACTTTTTATAACACGCGGCTTCGCCGCTCGATTTGCCCATCGGCTACCCCACCTAGAACGCGCGTACCCTGATCCTACCAGCTTCGTTGGCTTCTCAGTAACCTTTCCAAAGAGATCCACGTCTTGTGCTTTTTTGTGCAGCAAAAATCAAGAAAAGTAAACTTACTGATATAAAAGGGTAGTATACACCGCGAAGTGCTGAACACTTGCCTCCCGCCAATGTGCGCGGGATTCAAGTCTCGGCGTCGACTCCATATGTACGTTGAGCTTCTTCCTTTTCTTCTCTACCCCGCGAGTTTGTCTCCGGGTACTCCGCCCCCCCCCCTCTCCTTTGAACACAACATTGCAATTACCATTTCGATCTTGAAAGTGTCCCCAGTTTGTAGGGGACATTAATTTATGTTTTCCCTTTTTCCTTTTTCTTCTCTAACATGAACAAGGTTTTAGCATAACTCTCTTGTCTCCAGTATATGTAGAACCTACTTACCTATGTAATTCAATGGTTGCCTTTGCTGGTGTTCTATACAATGTATAGTGCACCACATACAAATTCGCATTCCCATTCTTTTTTTGACGCACTCAATCTGTATTTTATTTAAGGGAGCGCTGCCCCTGAACAATGACCTTTTGGGTGAACAGGCCTCCAAATGCCGAGCGTACGCCAAAGCACTGCATTACAAAGAGGAAGAGTTCCACAGAGGACCGACTACTGAGACACTTGAAGCGCTTATCAGGTAACCGTATCGGGTATATTGTTTGTTTCGTTTGTTTTGTTTTTTGTTGTTTTTATTTTGTTGTGTTTTGTTTTTGAACCAATAACTGCATATTTCCTGCATTCGGAGAAACTCTTTTCTTGGGCTTATTGTTTCTCGTCATTTCTTCAAGCATAAACAACAAGCTGCAGCAGCCCATGGCAGCTCATGGAGTCTTGGTATATGCTATGAAAAATCATGGAGCCGATGTGGTGAGACATTTGTTTATCTTTTGATGATCATATGACCTGTATGTTGTATAACGAAAGGAACATTCACGCCAACAGGTCAAAAGTTTTTCGCTCACACACCACTGGTAGCAATGCCAAGCCCACCGCCGCAGCCTGACCTAAATTATTCCAAGTTCATTAAAAAAATGTACACTTAAAATACCCCTAAAGAGGTGGGACTGTAACAAAATTACAAAGTTGCATATTACATTTATACAGCCTACAAAACTGAAATCTTAGGGTGGGTGGGTGGGAAGGTCAGTATTGGCGGACGCAACAAAGCAACTGCCTGCCTTTCTGTCACATGACCCATACCCAGGCCCCCAGTGGCGCCTGTGAATAACATTTTCCACCTATTTCGTTACACTCCAGTCAATGGGAAATTACCTTTCCTTGGTAAACATTTGCACGTCGATTGCGTGTGAGTCCATCGTTACAATCGTGGCGTTCCCTTTCTAATGAGTTTATTTCAGTAAAACCTCTTATATGTGGAAAAGTGTCCATTTCAATCGTTTTTTTTTTCGTCGCCATGGCGAACGCCGCGAACATCGACCTTCCAATGTACAGACAGTCCAACTGCCTGACTGGCCATTTTTCTCGCAATTTTAGAAAATCAAGGAACGTTGGTATGAAAAACTGCACGACTGGGAACAGGCTCTGGAAGCTTACAACAAGAACCTTCTGCAAAAACCGGAAGACCTTAACCTCTCTCTGGGACGAATGAGATGCCTTGAGGCTCTAGGAGAATGGTAAGTGGACAATACAAAAATAGACGTTACTGTATACGCGGATTCACCGTGACATTTTTGCTCATCAGCATACGAATTAACCAGTAGAAGATGTAGCTTTATATACCAGTTGGGTTCAATAATTAAAAGAGCTGGTCAATTTAAGCAGTTTGTGCAAGTTTCAGCTCTTTTTAGTTTGCAGCCAGTAACAAAGAAGATAACAGCAACTGATTACTATAAAATTATTGGTTAGCAAAACGTTAATGAGCTCATACATTCTTTGTAAATTTTGGAGTTTTTCAAAGAGAATTTCTCCGCAACCATTTGGTATGTCGCCCTCTAATTTTCAAAGATAACTGAAATTGTTATGCTGTTACAATATTCAGAAATTTCATTTTATTAGCTTCATTAGATAATGATAAGCTTATGCTAATGAGGAAAAAATGTAAACAAAGATTCGCCTATTGTGGCAGGATTTTGTGACAATTTTTACTGAAGATGTGTTTACAAAGTATACTAACGAAAGGAAGCACATTCATTGAGCTAGTGGGAACGCATCGTCAGTTGTTAACTTAAGTAGATAGTGCCGTATCCTGAGTGCCATTTGTCGCAAGTCGAATTTGAGAAACGTTTCTCTCCGCCAAAAACACAAGTTCAATACTTTTAAACGTCTGTTTAGAAGGCTTGGCCCTTTCAATTCAAGGGTTGGTGCATAATAATACGTAGGAGTATTGTATGGGGGTTCTATCTAGAGTTTGAATGTGTGAACGATATCCTTCGGTGTGAACTTTCAAATGAAACCACTTTGGCAGTATCGTTTCATGGTGCCTTAATTTCCTTATCCTCCCGCACGTTATGAAGCCGAAATTGAGAGTTTTTGTTGAATTGTGACTTTAGTAACTTCTGAAATTGAAACGGTTAATCTTAAAAGGAGAAGTCTCATTTTATTAAAGGTATTTATTTATTGTTTTTAACAGGGGTGAACTTCACCAGGTTGCTGTTGACAAGTGGCCGGTAGTGAGTGATGATAATAGACAGAGAATGGCCAGAATGGCTGCGGCCGCTGCTTGGGGATTAGGTAAAATGTTCTTATAAGAACTTTACTAACTCTACCCTGAGAGTCTGTCCCTTTTCAATTTCCAGGAGATAAAGACGTTAATAATGACACATGAAAGACCAGTTGTTCAATAGAGGATGACTTGAAGATGCCATATTGCGTGAAAATAGGCCAATAAACAAAATGGCCGCCAGCTTAGATCCAACATCTCTGGACGTCTGTGATGTCAGATGAAACAAGCGGAGAAGGCTGAGGTTACTGTAACCCACCGAACCCATGATGCGACTAATGTGTCCATAGCACCAGGAAAACGTCCTGTGCTCCTTCTGTGTTGTGAGTTCTTGGATGAATTCATGTTCCATTCCTTTTCCATCATAGGTAACTGGGACAGTATGGAGGAGTACACTTGTATGATCCCACGTGAAACACAAGAAGGCGCTTTCTACCGAGCCGCCCTTGCTTTGCATCAAAACCACTTCCAACAGGCGCAAGCGGTGAGTGTTAGTTGAGATGGCATTGCGTTGAAAAATTGACCAAAGGCAAGCACTCTACAGGCGGAGCACCTTTCTTAAGATACCGACGTAGGCATATTTGAAGTCCCGTACTTTAGCAGAGTAAATCAGAACGTTCTTCTGTTATAATGCATAAACCATCCACAAATAGATGTTTAATTATTGTATTTTGTAGTGTATCGATGCTGCACGTGATGTGTTGGATACAGAATTAACAGCAAGAGCTGGCGAGAGTTACAATCGAGCATACGGGGTATGAAAAATTCAAGTAGGATCCTTACACGTTTCTTGGAATCTGCCCACCTACTCCTTCCCTAAGTCAACATTTTGCCCTAAGTGAGAAGTAAGTGTTAATGTTTGCTTAGGGGAGAGGTAGCCGGGCAGTTTCCCAGAAACGTGTAACGATCCACAGAGGATCCTTTTTTAGTTATGACTTGCAGGGGTCCAAAAATCTTGAATTCCAGCTTGTCGTTTGGATAAGCAGCCCTCACAATTTGCTTTCCCAGGGCAATTGCTTTCTTACTTGTTCAGCAAGATGTCTGCTTGTTTTGGAAGACCGGTCGGGAAATTTTTCACGGCTGCCTTGCTTTCTGTTGCGTTAGTTTCACTTTTTGAAGTTTTTGTATAGTAAGGAGGAGTACATTGGAAGGTACACACTTGTTGCCATATCACTGAATGACGTCTTGATAGAACGAAAATGCTTATATTCAAAACCTTTGGTTATTTGTTTATTAAAATGTAATAATGTTAAAAATGAATGATATTTTGTTTAGGAGTAGTTTGCATATATCTTACGAAAATGTCTTGCGTTCTTATTTCAGGCTATGGTTAGCGTACAGATGTTATCAGAACTCGAGGAGATCATTCAGTTTAAGCTTGTCCCAGAGCGCAGGGAAGCCATCAAGAGAACATGGTGGAACAGACTTCAGGTAAGAAGGAACGTCAAGTTTGTTGACGTTTGTCTCGATGTGAAGAAAACTACTCCCCTACCCCTCCCATCACCGGAAATTTTGTTGTAACGTTGGTTTGAGGGTGAGAGTGGGGGGGGGACATTACGTTATGTGTCAATAACCTAGAAATTAGGGACTTCTAGAAGTGGTGATTTACGCATTGTTTAGGAGATTTTTTTTTTTTTATTTCCAAAGTAGCTTAACTTATATTCCTTTTTGAGATTACTGTGGACGATTGGCCTGACCTTAAGAATAACGTTGCGTTTTCGAATTTATCCGCCGTAGTGCAAACAATGCCTTCGTATGTTTATTGCCGGCTGTCGTTTCTAGTTTTCAAGAAAACTCTCCAATCCTGAAGTTAAAAAATTTGAAAACAAATGCTACCGTGTCAATATACTGCTAAAGAGGTTTTCTAGGATTGTATAAAGCTATATGGCATGTATGCAACAATGACCCTAGCAGGTGAAAATGAGTAATGGGATACACAGCATTTTATGTCAGGATATATTCTTGAATGCCCTTTCCTCCGAAGTGCACCCGCTTCTAGCCAACTTCCTAATCCTAGCAGCGCCGGTATCCTTGTTCCGGGCTCTGACCGGACTCAGCGAACTACTGGAAAGCGTTTCGAACTTTCTTTCAACCTAATTGGCAAATAGACAGGACAGGACAAGGATTTCGGCGCTGTTTCGTAGACGGACTTAACCGGAAGTTTTGGTTCCGTTTGTGGCGCAGGTCAACTCCTTCCCTGCGTTCGAACTTTGCGCGTGGTTGCACTAACAGTACACCGAAGATGTGATTACTGTATTAATGTTGGCACATTTCTGTTTTAACGAAACAATGAAAATGCAATGTGTCCTTGTTTAATTTTGCACAGGGTTGTCAGCGTGTTGTGGAGGATTGGCAAAAGATCCTGCAAGTCCGCTCCCTGGTGCTCTCTCCACAGGAAGACATGAAATCATGGCTAAAGTACGCTAGTCTTTGCCGTAAGAGCGGTCGACTCGCGCTTAGTCACAAGACACTAGTCACCCTGTTGGGAACAGATCCATCAAAACAGGCAGACCAACCTTTACCAACCACGTATCCACAAGTAACGTTTGCTTACATGAAGCACATGTGGAATGAAAACAAGAAGGTATGGGAAGATCGCCTGTACTGTTGCAGCCTGTGAATCTTGAGCCTTAAAAGGAATCGTTCCAACAGCGTTTAATCGTTTTATTTTCCTTTCAGTAAAGTTAGGTGGTGTGTGCCCGCGCTATTTAAAGATCCGCGCGCTTTATTTACTTATTTAATTGACATGTGCATGTATGTCGTTATTTAGCGCATTTCATTTTATTTGGGTTGTTTACCTACTCGTGCACCTTGTGAGTAACTCATGATAGAGTCCTTTAGATACGAGGACGAGAACGACTACGAGTACGACATTTGATTTAAAGTTTTTTTGCGTATTGTTAAAAAATAAACACCCCGGAATTTTTCATTGGACTTTTTTTCACCAGGAAAGTAATCACAGTTATCGTTATTGAAAGAGGTTAGGACCTCTCCCGATTACAAAATACTAAAACTTCTAACGTTTGAAAACTCGTTTCTGCCACTACGACATTCTCGCTAAAACTCGTGGTGGAATGACGACCTGGCAACCATGTTTTCCCGCCAAAATGACGCTGTCTCACGCGCGAGCACTACTTACCATTGAGAAAATCTCATACTCGTAGTCGTTCTCGTCGTACAATCTAAAGCTCGCTATTCTGGGTGGCTCGTCCTAAAATGTTCTGCAATTAGTATAGGATTTAATGGAGCCGAAACCAATTGTGGAATTGCACACATTTTAGGCATCCTGTTGATGGACAGCTACGACTTTTAGATATTTCGAGCAACAACAATTTGCCGTCTCCTTTCCGTTGTGTTTTTAGGAAGAAGCATTCCAGCATCTTCAACATTTTGTACAAAACACGCTTCACCAGCAAGCTTTACAGTCGCTTTCTCCAACCGATGACGGGCAAAAGAGAGAAGAACTACTCAAGCTAGTTGCTAGGTACGGTTGACAAGGAAATCTGTCATAGGGCAATAAACACTCAATGACTGGTCCTGAGGGAAACAGTTAATTTTGTTTCCCGAGAACCTCAATGTCCCCTTGGCGAGATGTTATATAGCTGGAAATTTTGAAGCTGGAAATTTGCATTAAACCTCGCTGTAACGGCGGTCGTCGTTTAACTTTCGCGGGTAACAGTGCACTGAGGTCATAGATTTGGTAATATTGCCCGCTCATAGATTTTTGTTGGCAACCGTGTCATTATTAGATGCCGTGTGACCTCGAAGTAACCAATGAGACCGCAAAAAATTTTCCAGCTATATAACAATGTTAAATGTCTAAAAGTAAGTGTGGAGAATGATAGAAACTTGATGGACTCGTTCTTGGGTTTAATCTTATACTTCGTTTAAAAGCTATTGTAATTTGTTTTGGGGTATGGTAATTTATAGTTACAATGAGTTGGAAACAAAGGAAGTGAACATTTAAACCAGGGATAACGTTGAACTCTAGACATAATTACTACATCCGATCTTAATTAGTCTGACCGACTGGATGGCTAACTGACTGAATAACTGATCGACTGACGGGCTGATTAACAAACAGACTGACTGACTTACTGACTGACTGTCTGACTGACTGACTCACTAATTAACTGACTGACTGAGTGGCTAATTAACTGACTCATTAATTGTCTGAATAACTAACTCAGTGATTAACTGACCGATTAACTGACTGACTGACTGATTGACGAACTGACTGCCTCACTGACTGGCTGACTGGCTGACTGGCTGACTAACTGACTGACTGGCTGACTGATTGGCTTACTAACTGACTCACTGGTTAACTAACTGACTGACTCACTGACTAACTGACTAACTGACTAACTGACTGACTGACTGACTGACTGAATAACTGACTGACTGACTAACTTACTGACAAACTGAGTGGCTCATTGATTAGCTGAATAATCAACTAATTAGATGACTAACTGATTGGCTAACTGACCGACTAACTGGCTAGAGCACTGCAGCGCTAACGCAGAGGCCATGAGTTCGAATCCCGTTGACGTGTTCACTAACTGACGTACCAACTGATCACTATTTTGGTTGTTTAAAGTGATTACCTCTTACAGAGCCAGTACCATAGAGAACTTGCTTGCTTATTTCAGTTTACCTCTCTGCTTGCATTTTTGTGATTGTCAATTACAGGAGAGATTAATTTGTTCAGGTTCAGGTTCATTGTCTATGTATTACTTTGAATTAATAGTTGTTACCTCAAGCTGGGTGATTGGAAAACCGATCTCCAAGGTTACAGTGAGGCGTCTATACCGCAGATCATCCAGTATTATGCAGCAGCCACTGAAAATGACAGAAATTGTTATAAGGTATTTACAATTCAATTATCCCCTTGCGGGTAGCGGGGTAGGGGTATCCTCTACCAACAGGAGACGTAAGGCGACTCCTTTCCTTCCGCTAGCCGACGGGTCACCCGTGGGCAGGGTGTAGTACCCGGTCAGCCACCTGATCAGGGTTACGTGAAGTCATGGGAGCAGGTAATGGATGTTGTTGAGGAGGCACCCGATGTCATAATCCACAGTGCTGGCTCCCATAACTGGCACCAGGCATAGAATCATTCTACCAAATTTGCATTCAGAACACCATGACTACCGGATTTATTATGTAAACATTTATTTACGTCATCAGTATGGAATTTCTGTCGCTGAGTCGCAGACGTTCCTCCTCGCTAAACGTCCCTCAGCGGCGATGAGCGAGGAGAAACGTCTGCCGTTTGCAGGCTAAAATGACCAGGTCTACGAGGGCGGCACACTTTAGAAGGTACCGTAGCGATCTGGTTTATTTGTTCTCTTCTATCAGGCGTGGCATGCTTGGGCATACATGAACTTTGAAGCAGTATTGTATTACAAAAACCAGCAGTCAGGAAACGATGGAAATGGTAATGAAAGTATCTTGAGGACACCTCCAAGCAATACCTCCTCTGTAAGTTCATGTTTGTTTACAAGGCCATTTTTGTTTGTTTGTGGATTTGTTTGTCAGTTTTCTGTTTATCTGGGATAAAAGGATTCGCGGGAATTCACGTTTTGCTGGTTTCTATTTTCTAGCCGTGATGTTCAGATCTCATTTGTATGTGTTTATTGATTGCTTGAAGTTCAGAACCTCCAGATCATTATACGTTTCCTGGGAAACAGCTCACCTACCCCTCCCTTAAGCCAACTTTAACACTTACTTCTCACTAATGCAAAACGTTGGATTAGGGGAGGGTAGGTAGGCAGTTTCCTAGGAACGTATGATCCAAGTTGCCTTCCTAATCGCCATTTTATGACGTTTAAGTATAGGTCTTCGGTCCCAAGGATAGATTTTTCAATAAGAAGTAGTGAAAAGTGTCTGTTTAGTATTGGCAGACAGTCAACTCCAATATTCTTCTTCGTAAAACAGTTTTGTAGGCCTCGAAAGGAAAGGGGTTCGTTACAGTCAAGTTAACAAAATTGGTGACTTCTTGGTGTTGCGGATGAGTGCAATCACTTAATGACGTAATTGCAAAGATTGGAAAGACATTGAACAGTGCAGTGGAACCTCGATATACCGAAGGGCCAGGGGACTGGTAAAATTTGTTCGCTATAACGAGCTTTCGTTATATCGAGAGGTTCTTTTCCTTATATTTTACTATTACTGAGGTGAAGAAAATTGTTCGTTATACTGAGGACTTTGTTATATAGAGGTTCGTTATATCGAGTTTCCACTGTACCTAACCAACAGTAGTTTCCGCAGTACCAAGAAACACCCAGAAAGGTTCATTATATAGAGGGCGTATTATGAAAGACGACTTTAATTTGACATCATTAGGTATTGTCTTTTTATTGTTTTGTTTTGTTTGTTTGTTTGTTTTTTTTTTTTACCGTTTCTTGCCTTAATAAAAACTAACAAAAACAATCAAGGTGAAACAATAGCTTTCACGCGCGGCAAAGTTCAACTTTTCCGATTAATGCTTTCGTATGAGATTTGCGGTAAGTGCTGAATAGACGAGATCGCTAACTTTCCGATGATAATCTTGATTTTTTATCTTTGTTGTAGGTGGTGAACTCCGTTATTTTATACGCTGTGCCGGCAGTGAATGGCTTCTTTAAGTCAATAGCTTTGTCCAGCGGCAATTCGCTCCAGGATACGCTGAGGTATGCATTCGCAACTAAATAAACGAGGAGCCTGAGCCGAGTTAGCTTTCGGAAAGACCCCTGGGATCTTTATTGTGGACGCGCCGGTCAGCTGTTGTCCCAATAACAGTCGCACAAGTGTTTGCGAATGTTTATTCGACGCAATGTCCTTCTCGTTTCTTGAGTGGTGAATTGGTACTTGTCATCGAAATTCTGATTGGTAGAGAGAATGATACGCTTACTTGTTATATATTAGAGACCTTAAGATCGAGGTTTGGTCATTTTACTGCAAACGACAAACTGCGGTTTGCGGTTAACGGTTTCATGTTACCCGTCTGCCCTTATTTGGAACTTAAGTTTCGCGGGTGGTAGCTCGCGGCTGCCATGTTTGTTTTCATTCATCCACTTACTTCTATTTTAGCTGAGAAATTGTCTTCAAAATTACGTTTTTTTTGAAATAGAATTCGACAATCATCATGCAAAAGAGTCTAAAAAGTCATATTTGTTCTCAAACGTAGGTTTGTGATGTTTTAGGGTGCAAAAACCTTGTGGTAAATCACTTACCTCTGGAGCGTGGTCTAGCCGTACAAACGTGAACCTCAAACCGCAAACCTGACGGCAAAGCCCTGGTCACGTGACTTCTTGACGTTAGCGGCTCGCTGGAAATGCCGAAAAACCCCAATTTTAAGGTCTCTGTTACAAAACCTTTAACCGCGGCAGGGTTAGCTCAGTCGGTGGAGCACATGACTACGGGGCGGAGGTCGAAGGTTCGTTTCCCGGGGCCGGACCAATACGCAGGGTTTCTAAAATAATAATTGAATGAAGGTACTTCCATTGTCCTTCAAACGGCTAGACTTTCGCGTGGCTTAGATGACCACGTGAAATAGCAGTCCCGTCCCAGTGGAATTGTCAACGACTTCTTAAGTACTTTTTGAGGTACTGTCGTGCCCTGCGCTTGTTCATCTGTGATTCTGCGCATCATTTGTACACTGTTTTGCTCACCTACGTATGTATGGCTTTATGGTCAGATTGTTGACGCTGTGGTTTGATTACGGCCATTGGCCTGAAGTTTATGAAGCTTTAGTTGAAGGGATCAAGACTATTCAGATAGACACTTGGTTGCAAGTCATTCCTCAGCTGATCGCCAGAATTGACACGCCTCGTCAACTAGTTGGACGACTTATCCATCAGCTGCTTACAGACATTGGCAAACATCATCCTCAGGTATTGGTCTTGTTGTTGTTGTTGTTGTTGTTTGTGAATGACAGTCACGAAATCAACAGTGGCGCTCTGGAAGACAAAGAGAAAAATGGATTAAAACAATGTCACTACTTAGAAAACTTCATAATAGCACAAATTTAATTTTCAAAACCGCTCAATGCATGATTCACCAAGTACTTTCCTTGTTTTATCTGCTTCTTTTCCCTCCACCGGCTGAAAATCGTTTCTCTCTAGCTTAAAGCTCCATGTTAGTGTTGCTGTGTTCACTCACGAAAAGGAAAATTGGCAGTGTTTTCCTGCCTTCTCTCCTGCCACTTTCCACTATGCTTCCATCACCTGCTGTTGTATCCTGAGCGGGGTACAACTGCTGAGTTGTATCAAAATGAGCGTGCCAGCAAGCTCTCCGTGGCCCCGTCGCCAGAGCGCCCAAGATAGCTTGCTAGCAGTTGAGTCTAGGAATAAACAACAGTCATATTACTCATTGATTGTATTTCTGTCTCTGCGCAGGCCTTGATATACCCATTAACTGTGGCTTCAAAATCAGCGAGCAGTGCTCGGAAAAATGCAGCAAATCAGATTCTCAAGAACATGTGTGAACACAGTCATCAGCTGGTACAGCAAGCAGTTATGGTAGGTTCCTTTGCTTGTTCATTCGCTCTATGTTGCATTTAGCCATTATACTAACAACGACTTCATTCACTTGTACGAAAAATTATGTGAATCGATCTACGTTCACAACTCGGATCGCGAGCGGTGCACGCCCTCTGTTGAAAAGGCTTCCTGTGATACGTCATCTATTAGTAAATCAGCGTCTTAATATTTGCGCTTATGATTTGAATTCTTGAGTTCGTTGGGAACGGTGAGCGGTAAAATGGCTGGCTTGAAGCCCACAGAATCTCTCCACGGTCTTCACTCTAACTATGAGATCGAATGAAAAATGTACTTTTTTGGAAGAATGTAGTTATATTATGAGATTATTGTAGGTCAGCGAAGAGCTCATCCGTGTCGCCATCTTGTGGCACGAATTATGGCACGAAGGATTAGAAGAAGCATCCAGGATGTACTTCAGTGAAGGAAATGTGAAAGGAATGTTCACTGTATTAGAGCCGCTGCATCAGATGATGGAAAGAGGTCCGCAGACGCTCAAAGAGACTTCCTTTAACCAGGTTAGGTTGACACCATTAATTATAATCGTCGGTACTAAATTGGGCACATTTTAAACATACTTGTTAGCCTTCGACTGACATTTCCAAAGGTCATAAGTTACTTTTAAGAGTAGTTGGCAACAATTCTTTTCTCATCTTTTAGGCCATTTAATTTTATGTTTAAATCCAAACATATATTGGTGAACCCTCGTTTGGCGAGAACTAATTGCGCCAGGTAGTTTTTACAACAACAAGCAACAAGTTACTTCAGTTACCTTCCAAATGAATCAAGCAAGTTGGAAATAACAGCTAAAACGTTTGGAACTGAACGTATGCGCTTTTACTGACTTCGAACGAAATGAGCTTTCACACTGACCTATGTAGGCCTTTACACGTTATTTTTTGCCCACTAAATAATGTAAGGTCACATTCAACACCGACATAGACCCTTAAAAAAACTTGACGTTGCCCAATTTATTTCACGTAAGAAATGAAGTTTGCCAGTAAAACTTCTCCACTGACAACTAATGCACCTATCAATGTAAACCCCGTGGGGGGGTGGGCGAGTGCGGGCAAGGGGTGGGGATTTGACAAATTTTAAAATTTTTCGATCAACTTCCCCACGGTGGGAAACGAAAGATCAATCAAAAGTGTCAAAAAAGCCCCCACCCCAGGGGAAATAATATAAACAAACAATGCTATAATACTATATAAAACGAGTAAAAGAACATTTCAAACACGTTGTTACTACTTTTATTTACGGTTAACGGAAGCTCCATTAAATTACTCGCTGTAATTAAGTATTTTCTCTCTCCACTAGCATCTCTTATCTTGAACAACAAAATCACTTCAGGAAGATTGACCGTGCTGTATAATATTAATAAAACGTAAAATGCTTTATAACATCTGCTCAACATGTCGGAACAGGTCGGATCAGTGACTCATAAAAAATCCTCTGACTTTCCTGGCGGAATTCGATTTCAATCGAGTTTTACAATCAGATGGGAACTTGAAGATAAAAACTTCCTCAAAATAGACATTATCTGTTTAGATGACAGTTTAAAGTATCGGATTATGGCGATTAAAACAAGTGAAAACTTCATACCTTTCTCCAACAACATGACTTTCAGGAAGCCTCGAGGGACGGACTTGGTAACTGCTTCTGAATTGATACCAGGCTTCTGTCGGGGGCCCCTCCCCTGGATCCGCCACTGCAACTCTGTTATTTTGGCAAGCCACTGTTTTGACCTACTTGGTTTTCTTTGAATCAATTTGTAACAGGCTTATGGTCGTGATCTGATGGATGCCCATGAGTGGTGTAAAAAGTACCAGAGATCAGGAAATGTGAAGGATCTGACGCAGGCCTGGGATTTGTATTACTTGGTCTTCAGAAGAATATCTAAGCAACTTCCTCAGGTAACCAAAGATAAACTTTTGAATTCATAGAGTGCAAACCCCGAAAGGAAATTAAGTAGCAGCGTGTTATTTATTGCGGGCGACCGGAGGGGCCCGCAATCCTAATCTCCAGGTTGCTATAACGCAGGCGCGGCACTGTGTAGCCAGCATTTGATTGGACTTCCACGAAGAATAAAAGGAACGCATAGAACGCGACCTGATCACGTGCGTTTGGATCTTCTTTCACCAGCCATCTGGTTTCAAAAAACATATTATTTTCCCCTTTTCTTAGGCCTTAACCACATTTTGCTCAGAGTAAAGTGCGGGTAGAAAGCGTGTAAACCTTGGGGTGGTCATTCAAATAAAAGACAATCATTTTTCTGTTATGCTATAGTCGTTATACTTTAAAAGTTGATGCAACCGTGAATTTTCGCCTATGAAATCCCAAAATGAGATCTGTTGATTAGTTATTTCTCCAGGACATTTTTTTTTCACTTTGCTCTGCGATACGGTTAGTCAGCGATTAAATCTCTTGCCTATTGGCTGTTGTTGATGTGTCTTAGGGCGGCAACCGTCGGTCAGAACTGGCGGACCTGGGGCCCGTTTCTCGAAGCTCCCAGTAATTACCGGGCCCCGTAAGCTGTTTTGTTTTCCATTTTAGAAGGGAGTTTTAAAAGTTTTGAAAATTATACAGTAGAGTTATTAGCTAACGAAACAAGCTGGACTTCATTAGAGGTCAGAACACACTCTACTTCTCTTGAGACTTTGATTTAAAAATATGATACCGGGCCCGTTAAGTTACCGGGACTTTCGAGAAATGGGCCCCTGACCCGTCTAGACCTGTCTACTATTATTCGGGTCTATTCAGCCAGGTAAATTTAAATTTTCTGAATAGTATAACCGGCATTGATACGTTTTAGTGCAAATTTCGGGAAAAGATTAATATTTCATTTTCAATATGACTGGTTCGACCAGCCAGTTCGAACGTTGGGTAAGTGCTTCTATTATTCACTTTAAAATTTGTTGAGTTGCTTTATTTGCGTTTCAGTTGACCTCCCTGGAGCTTCAGTACGTGTCCCCTAAACTGCTGATGTGCCGTGATTTGGAACTAGCTGTTCCTGGAACATATGAGCCTCATAAGCCAGTCATTCACATCCGACATGTGCACTCCTCGCTTAACGTCATCACTTCCAAACAGAGACCAAGAAAACTCTGTATCACAGGTAACTTGGATGAATGCAGAGAGATTTTGTTTGCTGATTTATTTACTGCTGACACCAAGTCATGCGAGTGAATTTAGCAATAGTGGTGGTTCATCAGTCACACCGGCCGTCAACTATCTCTTACACTATCTCCCCCGACCTCCATGTAAATCGGCATTGCAGCCTGTTTAAGCTTTTTCGTCATCCCGTACGACCCTTCCTGAGGGCTCCTTATCTTTCCCGAAATGGCAGGAGTTGGGGACCCACGACTTGCACTCGCTCCACCTCTATGAGGTACCTACTAGCTTCGAAGCCAACTGTTTGCCTCAAAAGATGGAAACAAGACTGCAAGCTGATGTTAAGAAGGCGCGACTCTTAATCTCTCTAAAGCCGTCAATTTATACTTTCGAGTTACCTTAATTGCTTTTCGTTCATACAGGCAGCAATGGAGCAGAGTTCATGTTTTTACTGAAAGGCCACGAAGACTTGCGTCAGGATGAGCGAGTCGTACAGTTGTTTGGTTTGGTGAACACCCTGCTTGCGGGAGATCAAGAAACATCAAAGAGACACCTAGGGTAAGTCTTTTCTTCAGTTTGGTTTTAATAAAGTCTACCTTGTACAACCTTCTTTGTATATAACAAAATTAGCGCCAAGACATTTTAGGCGGCGCGCCCCATTCTGAAGTACTTATTATAAGTAAATCTGACAAACCTCTGTTACTATTCGAAGGCAACATCTACTAAGGCAAAGACGTCAGATGTTGACGGTTGTGCTTGAATAATTTTTATGCTGGTTTTCAAATTATGCATTTTTATATATTTATCTAAGGCTAAAGCGTTTAAGGAAAAGTTTGAGGAAATAACTGAGCTACAACCTCTAGAAGAACGGAATGCTCCTGTAGATTAAACTGCAGTGATTGAGCTCAAGTCAAGTGCCTTTATGCTAGCTTTGTTGTAATTATGACTATATTCGATCTCGTCTACTGTTTTAGAATTCAGCGGTATGCAGTTATTCCACTGTCAACGAACTCAGGTTTGCTTGGCTGGGTGCCTCACTGTGACACACTGCACACGCTTATCAGGGACTACAGGGAGAAGAAAAAGATACTACTCAACATTGAACATCGCATCATGCTCAGGGTAAACCTTTTTACTAAATAAACTTTGAGCTCTGATGTCCTGTACTCTCATTTCCTTTGGGTTCGCGTAGTATCGAAATTCCTAGAGCATATTTTTGATGCTTTCGTTAGGGGGAGACTACACTGCAGATAACCGGATATCTAGAGTTTTAATACAGAACGGAACAGCCATTTTCCTTGAGATACAGATCGTTACTTTTTTGCTTTAAGATAGCCCAGTTTATCCTCCAGGCAGGAATTGGAATTATAGGCCATAGGGGTCTCCTAAAAAAATTGAATTATTTTATCAAGAGATACATAATGGGGAAGGTATCCAATACGTGGAGAATGAATTCCCCATTAATATAAATATGAAAACCTGTGAATTATACAGTTAGAAATGATGTCATCACCAAAAAATTCTTTACGTAATAAAGTAGTTTGTGTTTCTTCCAATCAGATGGCACCTGACTACGACCACTTGACGCTAATGCAGAAAGTTGAGGTGTTTGAGCATGCGCTCTCGAACACTAACGGGGATGACCTGGCTAAGTTATTATGGCTGAAGAGTCCAAGCTCTGAGGTACTCTCATCAGATCGAAAACTGTTTGTGTGTTAACTTTTGTCTGTTAGGGTCTTGGACGGCCAAGGTCTTTTCCTTTTTACATCATTTTTTTTCCCGTTTCATTCCGGTATTTCCGTAATCTTTACTGAATATATAGAAGAGTTATCTTTTCAGTTCGTGTTGACATAAAAAGGGAGTTCTTAGGTGGTGAGCGTCTAAGAAGTATTCTAGTCGTCCTCCCGTCCTAAAGGAGAACAAACCGAGAAAACATCAACAGCAACAAATACAATTTTAAGATTGCAGTGTCCCATGTCTGGTTTAAGCTGAACGTTCATCTAAGGCCAAGGCCAAACGTCGAACTTTTCATGAGACGAACTAAACTTAGTGAGTTAAGTTCATGAAAAGTTCGACGCCTGGCTCTGTTAAGTTCGTCTGAATGCGTTTGGTTCGTCCAACACGTTCTATCCCTGTGCTTCAGACGGATAGAACGTCTTGAGATCGTCCCGGGACACATTCGACGAACTAAACTAATAAATTAAAAATTCGTATAATAATTAACAGTTAATGAATGAGGCTGAGTATCTTGTGAAGAATTATGGAGATCGAGAAGGGTGTTATCCGTCGAGGCCGTAAGCCGAGGCGGATAACACCCTCCGAGATCTTCATAATTCTTCATATGATACGAAAGCCGAATTCAATAACTGTTTTATTATTCATTCAAAATAATTCCTAGTTTAAAAACACAGCTAAAACATGCTTATACCTCGATCGATCCATCGATGTTGAGTTCATCTTCGATAGCGTACGTTTAGGTTTGTCCAGTTCCGCAAATAGCAGATGTCGCCCTCCGAGTTGTCTTCTTTCTGTTTTTGCTATGTTTTTTGCTATTATTACGCCTAGTTTCAACTGTAGTTTTTACTCTTGAAACGAGTGAAGTGTCCGCCATTTTTATTTTCACAACCAAAACAACTCAGCCTCGTTCCCACGGTGCCTTAACCTGTAAGAACGCTGCATTTTTGACGTCACTTCCTCGTTAAAGTCAAAATTTTTCCAAATTTGGTCATCAGTAACTGGTTATCGTGAAGTAAGTGTGTGCTTTTAGCCAATCAGAATTGAGGAAATATTTTGAATGAATAATATTGTATATTTAGCCTTGTTGGGGTAAAATTTATTAAAATTGCTTTATGGTCTTATTCAGTTGATTGGTTCGACGCGTCCTAAGTTAATTTAGGTTGACCCAAATTAAAGTTTGGTTCGTGTCATGAAAAGCTCGAGGTTTGGCCCAGGCCTTAGTTAGCTGACATGTTTTGGTTTTTCTTCTTTATGAAGGTTTGGTTTGATCGTCGAACAAACTACACTCGATCACTTGCCGTGATGAGTATGGTGGGCTATGTTCTCGGTCTGGGAGATAGGTAATGTTTGCAGCTTACTTGTACATACCCTACTATCATTCTTTTTATTCCAACTAGTGGTATTTCAGAAGGTTTCCGTGGCTGCTGTTGTAGTGGTAAGACTGTCTCTTAGAGCTGTATCTCATAGTACGTGTTGTGCATTTTACGTAATCAATTCAAAATTTGTCACCTCCTCGATCTTTTACGAAACTTCGAACTGGGCGAACTCGAACAGGGCAGAAACCGGCATACATCCTTGTATTTAGGATAGCTTTCGACGGAGAAACCACTGCTTATAGGAGAGCATATTATTTCTTACCGTTAAGTAGAAGAAACACAAACGTCTTCCGTCCTTCCCGAAGTAGCATAATCATTTGAATACATTCACTTTTAAACCTTTCCCCTTTTTTCAGACATCCTTCGAATTTAATGCTGAACCGCTTGAGTGGAAAGATCTGTCATATCGACTTTGGTGACTGTTTTGAGGTATGCCTCTGTTTAATTCTCGTCTTTGTGCTAATATGGCTTGTTTTACCATAAGTTCTTTCCAATTGTTCTCTTGTTTTAATGTTTTAATTTAGGTTGCTATGACAAGAGAAAAGTTTCCGGAAAAGATTCCATTTAGACTCACAAGAATGCTGACAAATGCAATGGAGGTAAGAAATTTGACGTGGTCCAGATTGACCAGCAAGCACCCTTAGTTAAGTCCAGTCATATCGTCTGTATATTCTACATTATTTTGTAGACCATTACCTGTCGGTGCTGTTAAACAACGAATAATTAACATCACCCAGTTAGATGAAAATGACATTGTTCTTTAAGCCAGCTAGTAACAGCTTTCTTTAATCTGCATGTAAATGTAGTTTGTTTACCCACAACATAAGTAGGAGTTCTCGAGAACTCGTTCGAAAGTGTTCGTTCGAATGTACATTCCAACCTTCCGTCGTCTTTGCTTGAAAAATTAATCAAGAGTTTTCTTCCGCACTTAACGACTAATATCAAGCAAAAAACACTTGCCCGAGGTAAGTAGTATCGAAAGTAAATTTCAAAGTTAATCAAACGTGATATTTGAGTCCTGGAAGGTATTGGTAAGGGTTTTGTCTTTTTAATCTTTTTCTCCTTTAGGTGACTGGCATTGATGGTAATTACCGAATGACCTGTGAAAGCGTCATGCGTGTATTGCGTGCCCATAAGGACAGCGTGATGGCCGTGCTTGAAGCTTTTGTTTACGATCCTTTACTGAACTGGAGACTGATTGATTGTAAGATTTAGATACACTTGTTTTTTGCTCAGTGAATTTAACTAATATTGCTTTCGCGGTGAAAGGCTTCCGTGGTTGAAAAACTATTTCGCGGGAGGGAAGTAAATTGTATGTTTTAATTCGCAGTCATCGGAAGAGCATAACGTTTGTTATGGAGTACCGCAGGGATCCCTCCTTGGGCCCTTGTTGTTCATTGTCTACCTTAATGAACTAACGAGTTGTGTAAAATATTGCTCAGTAAATATGTACGCTGACGTGACAATAATTGGTCAAATGGTACACCATTCCCTTCCGAAAAACTAACTCGAATAAATTGTCAAGTTGATTCTCACAGAAGAGCAGATACACTGCGCAACTTCTGAGATATTTCTTCGCAAAATTTCACAACACCTCAACGGTATCAAACCGTCTGAACCCCTGTTTTCAACAAATGTTGAAAGAAGGTTGAGATAATACTCTGACTGCTTTTCCGGGTATCCCATTAACGAAACCAGTCCGGAATGTATTGTCCTCACTTTTCACTGAAGTTAACTCACGTCCACCTTTTTATCCTTTCTCCACAGCGACTCCAAAAATCAAGCGTTCCAAGGGACGATCAGATACGATCTCGGATGGAGGAGAAGGTCTGTCTTTAACGAACCTTTTTTTTAGTGCAATTATTATTTTTAGATATTTTTTACTAAGTTCCTTTTCTGCACTTATTTATTTATTTATTTTGATTGTTTGTTTGTTGGCAGATTTATTGGAAGGCGTTGAAGTCAACCCTGAAAGACCTTCCAAGAAACAATCTGAGCACCACATGCCATCTTTTGGTAAGTAAAAACAAGAGACACTTAGGTGTAGTTTTCCCTTACCCTTTGTTGATGATCTTGTGTTATTTCAAAGTGTTTATTGCCCCTTCAATTTCGTGTACCTTCGTGTACTCCTCTTTAAAAGAGAAGGGCTTGTGAGAGAAGAAAACATTGAAAGTAAAGAGGAATTAGGAGACCAGCTGACAAGTGGATTCAGAGGGTCGTCCCCTTTCCGATAACAACAGCGGTAGGAAAAGTTGGGATGGGAAGAAGTGGTACCAGCGGTCAGTGCAATAATATATATGCACTCTATTTGATTGTCAAAGTATTGAGCAGGAAAGTACTAAATAATTATTCTGGACACTATATTTTCGTCTACAACTGGTGACTGGCCCGCCATTTCACGTGGTCACCCGAGCCGAACGAAGGTCTAGCCGCTTGCAGAGGTGTAAAGGGAGTACCTTTATTTCTGATTTATTTCAAGACCCTGAGTATTGGTCTGGCCCAGGGAATCGAACCCGTGACCTCCCGCTCTAAGATCAAGCGCTCTGCCGAGTAAACTAATCCTGCCGCGGTTTGGCAGGAGCAGCTTTGTCGCAGTTCGTATTTCTGGCCTACAATATAAAGGTGGATAGACTATTAACTCACTCAGGGTAATTTTCTACCGTGCTATTTCTTCTTTTCTTGCAGAAGATGACAGTGGCCATAAACCCGAGGCACTAAACAAGAAAGCTGTTGCTATTGTCAATCGTGTTAGAGACAAATTAACAGGTAAAGGCATTGTTTTGTTTACGTCACTAGGGAAGATTACAGTTTTCTACATCGAGGACTAGGCCCAGTTTAAGAAGGGTGGAAGGGCCTGAAATGCACAAGTGTACTCATGTTTGTTAATTATTTATCCTCGACAACTCTGTCGGATTTATTGGGTGGCATTAACCCTTTCAGTGCCAAGTGTGGACAAAGGCAAAATTCAACAACAAATAGCACCATTTGAAAGTACAAGCACAGAGGTTTCATTTGAATGGTCACATCGTAGGATTTTGTCCACAGACTCGAAAGTTAGAACTACCTTAAGTTACTCGAACATTCACTCTGGCAGTAAGAAACCGTAATTGGACTACTAGGGCGAGATAAGGATGAGTTGACGCTCTCAGACCAAGTTCGAGTGCTTTAGTGTCAGACCGATCAATTCATTCAAGTCCGGGCTCCAATCCTGGAAAGCAGCAGAGAAAACGGATGGCTCTGAGGTGAAAACTTCAATTCTTTAGTGTTCACGCACTTTGTTTATTTGTTTGTTTTCTAGGTCGCGACTTCACCAGTCATAACAACCTTGACGTTACAACACAAGTTGATCTGTTGATTAAACAAGCCACCTCGCACGAAAATCTCTGCCAGTGCTACATCGGATGGTAGGAAGATAAAGAGTATTACACGTCTGCTAGATCAGCTTATCGTGACTTGTCGGAACCATAAAAACAGCATTTTCGTTTTCGTTGCGACACATGCATAATAAGCATAAGCTCAGACAGAAGCGCGAACACATCATTTTATATATTCAACAGACTTCAAATACATCATCACGTTTATATGATTGCTAACATGCCAACCATCAACGTTCTACTTTTAGCAGTGTGCGGGGCGTTTGTCACATGAACTTAGTTTGATGTCCGTAGCTCCCTCCTGTAGCTCAGCTGTTAGCGTTAGGCTAGACTACAATGGAGGTCAAAACAGATTGGGACATTGTAGAAAAACACTCCCAAGTAATTGTTGCACAGGAGTGTCCTCTTAGTAACAATTTTTTTTTTCATCTACTTCGGGTTCATCCCTTCATCCCACCGCCCCCCCCCCCAAGCAATGTTGCGCCCAAAAAAGAATTAATTTCCGCCCATTTTGCTCAACATTTAACATTCTTTGAGGAGGGAGGGAGAAGGTCGCTATTTTTACTGGTATTAATGGAAAGATCCCAACACTTCTGACCTCCACTATAGTTACGAGAAGGTCATAGGTTCGACTCCTGAAAGAGAAACTCAGTATTTAACTGAAGTCTGTGTCACTGACTGAAAAGTATCATCATCATAAGCGAAAAGATGTTGAAACTTATGATAGTCATACTCATATGTGTACTTTGTGGCGCTGGTGCATAGAGGTTAAGGATCATCTTAAACGTGTTTTCACCGGGAATAGATGTCCCAAATGGTTCACAAGGTTCTTACGTTCGGACTTACTTAGTCTGGGCAGGGCTTTACTGAACTAAATATTTTGGGATTGCAACATTTTGTTTTGCCCCTTCTGCATTAATAGCTACTTTATAAATGTAATTTACTTATTTTATTTTTGTTCATTCTCAGGTGCCCGTTTTGGTAAAGTGTTGCAGAAAATAATCCTACGCCAATGATACAGTGGAAGAATTCTGGAAGTGTCAGAATCTCATCTTATACGGAGCATTAGAATAGCCGCTTGAATTTTTTTTCCGTTTTATTTCCTTTTGACGAATATCCCCCCCCCCTGCCCCCATAAGTTTTGTAACGGTCCCTCCCTAAATGACTGTCGAATACCGAAGGTCGACAGATAACAAATGCATAAAATGAAGACCTTCGCTCCGAATCGCCGGACACACGTACAATTTAGCAGTTCTCTGTAAAAGTATGGAATCTTTTGTACGATATTGTAAACAAATTTGTGAATAGGTTTATGATTTGAAATGTAATTCTGTAAAGATCTCTTCTTTGCAATGTATGGTGAAAATGAATAAACGTTGAAGGGACTCATACTACGAATGGCTAAATTAGTCTCTGAAAGGATTGAGTAAGTTATGAATCTGTACTGGTTCTTGGGATTACGTAGTATGGCATGTCACTTGCCGCCACTTACGTAGCTCTAAAAAATCTCATACGTCATCGATTGAACTAACCAGACGGCGAGCTACTCTATGTATGACGCAGTCTTTGGAAGGTAAGTTACTATTCCATTGCTAATATTTCTCTGCTTTGTGTATGGTTCATGTAATGTACCGTTTTATACCTTTCGTAATATAATGTGTCCCCTCCAATTGTGCCATTATCGATCGGTGAGGTGTGTTGTACAAAGCGCCAGGGTATTATACGATATGGTACGATACGGTGTGTTATCGTACATGTATGTTATTGAACTACATAATTATTTAAAACGTTATCGAAAAAGCTCGAGAAAAGGTCTTAAAAATATGCTTCATTGGGCTTGTTTACGAAATGTTTTCGAGAGCAACACTGGTCTTTATTAAATGTTGGTAACTTCTAATTCACGCATACCACGCATAACCGTCAATGCACGTCTGGCCGCTGTTAGTGCTCTCGCCACAGTTGTACAAGTCTCCACCAAACCATACTTGGAATTCTTGCCCAGTAGACACGGCCAGAGGAGAAGGAAGGTTGTTAAATTGAAGAATAGAAGCGTTAACACCGACTTTGTCGAGCTTGTATGAATAATATCCACAACCGTTGCCATCTCCTCGATATTCTGCGAGTTGCAGAGCAGTCTTGTTCTCGAACGTTATGATGGTCCCTAACTGTTTGTCCCCATACGTGTGATGTGTGCATCCCCAATATGACGCAGGCGCACTTCCGTGACAGCGTACACTACCATGCAAGTGGACGAGTTTAAAAGTGTAGATAGATCCGTTTTCTATGATATTGAAAGTCCCGTATGAGTCACCTCTCGCTCCAAAGCATATGGGTTCATTGTTGATCTTTTTCCAGTTTACTGAAAGAAAGGAGGCAACTACAGTTTTCTATTTTTTCAAGGAAAGAAAAGAATAATTGAGCTAGCGAGAAAAAAAATCATAATCGTAATTATAATTACAGCCAAACGTAATTCAAATTTAACATAACTAAAGAGCAAGCTGTCTCTCAGATTAAAGGTAATTAAGAGGGAATTTCAGAAAATATGGACCGGAAGTGTGCAATGCCGTGGAAATTCCAAAAACAAAAAAAAAAACATTACAGCTTGCAAGCTGTAAATTGCGCTGAAAAAAGGAAGACAATTTAGCAGAAACTGGAACTACCTAGCGGCCATTATCATGAGCCGCGCTGATTTTGCTGACACTTATCTTTCGGTAGAATAAGACCAGGTTCTAAGTTATTCATGGTTCTTACCGCACATTTCTAAAAATAACAGTTTTAGGCATTTAAGAGGATTAAAAAGAGGTAACGTACATTGTAAACCAAAATAAAAACACTGTTGGGGCAAATTTCTTTCCTTTTGTTTTTCGTTTTCTCACTTACTTGTTATCGTGTATTCTTTTTCTTTTCGCTCTCCGGTATTTTGTTAATTACGCTCCTTTGTTACGTGCTGTATGTAAATTTCGTTATAGTAATTATCTCGCCCTTATTTATTACCAGTTTTACGGATCTATTAGTGTAACAACATTCGTCGAAGTAGGTTTTTTTCCTCGGTGGCCCTGACCACCAACCCCGTCTTCCTCAGCATTTGGTGAGCAGCTTCGTTTTTCATCGTTTTTTCATGAATTTCATTTTGCAGTCGCTTAAAAGTAGTGTTTCTGTATTGTAACTATTATTTTTTCGCTCTTTGTAGGAATTTACTTTGTTTATGGTTTGGTAAGAGTAAAACATTTGCTTGCCCGTTCAAACACATTTGAAGTAAACTGATGAGTAAATAATAAATGAACCCTGAACGAATTGGAATTATAGTAAAGTTACCTATGCATCGATATCGTTTGTTGGTAAAGCCTGTTTGACATCTGTAACCTGGAGGACATGGCCTGCTTGAGCAATAATTCTGTTGAAACAATAAAGAATAGTTGCTGTTGTTTCTTCGATAGAATCATGATAATTCTTAATCATTATTTTACAGTTAACTGTCATTCTTATTGTGACTGTTATTATTATCATTATCATTTTCATGATGATGATGATGATGATAATTGATTGATTGATTGATTGATTGACTGATTGAACATATTAATTTAAGCCTTAATTTTCCAAGTGTTGTAAAATATGTCTGTCATCCCCTCCCCCCACCACCGAAGATGATTTTTTTTTTAAACTCTACTCTTTTAGACGCCCATCCCCAACGGTGTTGCTTTAGTGAGAGCTGACTGTAATATTCCGAAGTTTTACGTTTTACAGTATATATATGTTTTCACTGACCAACACAGACTTGTAGATAAACTTCGGTCGTTCCTTCAGATCCTCAGGATGTAGATTATGATCAGAGCTGCTCAGTTCACATAAATGCTTTCCTTGAGTCTTTGGTCCAAAGTTGATTGACATACAGTCGTCCTCTTCAAAGCAGTTGGCTTCACACGATTCTCCTGATTTTACCCAGAAGCTTTTGATCACATGACCTGCCAAGCTGCGTTCAGGGGTTGGAGGCTCGAACTGCAACACTCGACAGTCTTTCAACACTGAAATTCCCTCTATTCAGGGAATAAAACAAACAATGATAAGCTGCTAAGGTTTACATGTTTGGATCCTGAAGAGGCATAATATTTTCTTTCTTACATGATCTCTCCACTGAATCCAGTATAGTATACGCCTAGCAGAAGTAGAGTAAATAGTTACAAAAACTGTTATTGCAGACAATTAAATTCTAGAATTCACCTGACGAGCCCTGTTACGTCCAGGTTTTCACGCAGCTGCAAAAAATTGCAATTGTGTTTGCGAGATTTTGATGGGCCCCCTTCTACCTCCTCTTTTTTTTGCAATTTTGCCAGCAGTGTGCAAACTTGCACATCTCTCTCTCGACGAACCGTAAGAGGGAGAATGCCCTGTTCCCCTCCAACCCCTCAAAGGAAACCCCTTAAGCTAACTTCCTTGTTTTGCACTGCGTATCACCTACTGCACATATCATTACGACGTCAAAAGTTGCATGTTCCCCCTCCTAGCGCGCCCCTCGTGCTCTCGCGCGCCCAAGTTCCCGCTTCCCCTCACCCGTTGAACGCCTTCCACGCAGGCTACATCAGAAGTGGCAGTGATCTTTAGCGGTAGCCAGAACTGTTACAACAAGGGTCGCGTTTGTAGTCCAAAAGTCTTAACATGAAGGTGATGCTTTTGGCTTAATTTCTCAATTTTTCAAGTTGCGCACATAGTTTGCCTTTTTCGTGTGTACGGCCAGTATTATTTCACAAATTAAATAATTCATGAAATCTCTCAAAGAAGTTTTCTAGCGTTCTCTCCGGGTTCAATTCGCCCCTCCACGAAACAGAAAGTTCCCCCGTATCAGTTGGTTCTTTCGTCAGCCAAATAATGAACTTTGCCAAACCTGTCGTTTACCGGCCAGTTTCTTTGGTGGAGCGCAATTAAGAAACTTTTGAAAGGTTTTCTTCGCCGCGCTCTAGCTTAACTAAACCGCCAGTTATGCGGCTTTGACTAGGTGAAAATAAGAATGTTAGCCTACCAACTGAGTAGCCATGCCATTTTTTGGTGTAAAAACAAACTATAAATGTTGCAAAACGTAATATCAGATAACCTCGTCGTGGCCGCAGAACGAGAGACATTAGATCCATGCTACTGGTCGCAAAATAGGCCAGCAGAAAAACACCCAAAGGTCAAAATTGACAACAGTGAAATTAACTAAGAAAGGATAATGTTTAAGTGGATACGCACGTGATCAATTATTAAAATTAAGAAAATAAACAACAAAATCGATTTTTTGTTTTTATTTTCATATTATGACAATATATCTTTGAAGCAACCGGAGGCTGCTTGCTGCTTTGTACATGAATGTGAGTCAGCCTTTAATAGCCAGCGCAGCTGTCGGAATTGTTTTTGCGCGTGTGAGAGTTTTGGCGGCGAAGACATTCTTGCGAAGAGAGCGCCGAAGGCACAAGAAATTTCCAAGCTTCTCCCCTCCATTCTCCGCACGGCTTCTCAGGTCCTCTGCCAAAACTTTGCTCGCGCTAAGTAACAATCCGGCTAGGCAGGCTGAATCTTTAATAGATGACTACCTAAATTCATTGTGTAATGAAAACAAGTGATATTAATTTTTGATGACCTTCTGGAAGTACAAATGTAAAGAAAGAGAAAAGCAAATAATACAACTCTCAGGGAGATACGATTTTAGCTTCCTTTGCAGTTTCTTTTGTTGTTACGGTACATACAAAAAGAATCTGTTCTTGCTAATTTTTCAACATTAACATTGACTAACTTTCTAATATCAAGTTTCCCCTGCCCAACATATAATCCTAACTGACGAATGTTAGGATCGATTCGTACAATTCACCCTAATAGGTTCTTCTAGATCTATTTGGATTTTTTTAAAAACGTTACCCGGCCAATACAAAAAATAAGAGAGCATTGCTTTTCTTCTATTCTCCACCTTTCTATCGCCTCGCTCTTTAATATATGTTTTTTCTTTTCCTTTTTCTAGTGTGATTTTCTAGCAAAAAAAATTCCTTTTGGCCTCTTTTTCCAGTCCAATAGCTTAAATGTTGTGGTAGGTGCGTTTGCAAAAATCAGGCTACATATTCATCGGATTTTAGCGGGAAATCGGGCTTCTCAACCTTTGCAATCAAGCCTTTTTAAGGCCAAAGTAGCAGCCAAACGTTTGGGGGTTTCCAGTTCTTCAAGGGAAATCAAGGGCGCTTTCCCGGAAAATTCGGTGAGAACGAAAATGGGTATTCCGATAGGTAGAAAATTGTTCCATTTGATCGTAAACCCAGGTACGGCGGATGGCTGCCGAGTTGGCAACAATTGATTGCAACTGGTATGAAGTAAAAGAAACGAGAACACGAAATTCCGTTTAGAACGTTCCAACCGGGAAAACGGGCCTACCTATTTAGATTTTCCAATGGGACGAACCGACGACACGTTTTCCATTTACTGCCGAATCGAGATTTCAGGAAACTTTGACTAAATGGAAAGCGCCGGCCCAAGTTTTTCATTTCTCTCATCTACAAGTGTTTCAAGGCATCAGCTAAGAATTCAACGAACAGGACGATTATGATTATAACGACCTCCTCTCCCTCTCGTTTCATGTCTGTGAGATGGATTCGCCTCATTTAAGGAAATACGGATTCCGGAATCCGAAAAATTTTTGGTCGTGGAATCCGCAATCAGGAAAAATTTGGATTATGGAATCCGGAATCCTGGGCTTTGGAATCCGAAATACCGCTCGAGGAATCCAGAATCCCGCTAACGATTGGAACGCAGAATACAGAATCCAAGTCCCACTGACAAAGATCTGGAATCCAGGAACTGGTATCGGGAATCCAGGGCGTGGAATCCGGAATCTAGATTCCCTTACTTGGGGGCAATGGATTGAGGTCAATCTCAAATATGTGGAGTTCCAAAATTATGCCATCTTAAAAATGAAAGTGCGTTGACTGGTGTCTAGTTTTTTTTGTTTTTGTCGTTGTCATCATCATCATCAGAGGCAGCAGCAGCAGCAATAACAACATACACATTCTTTTTTTCTCTAACTGGACTCTGGTACATCTTGCTGACAGCTCAAGAATACAGGGCATGTACGTTGACACAAATTACGCCTGCATTGTTCTCCTCTGAGCAATTAGTAAAGTCCTGGCCGAACCATATCTGGAAATTGTCATCTACTGCGGCGGCTAACGGAATGTCGAAAGGTTCGAAGGAGAGTGATGTAGAATTAAGACTTGAACCGTTGATGCTGTACTGAGGATTGCAGGGGGTGCCGAATATTCTGGCAGGTTGAAGACGGGTTCTATTTTGGAAGGTCACGAGGGTCATTAGTTTGCCTTGGGTTAAACTGGGGTGATCGCAGCCCCAATGAGATGCGGGGAACATGGGATTACAACTCAGGAATCCATTGATATGGGTGAGAGTAAGCTTCATAATCATGCCTGCTTTACTAAATGCAAACTCCCCATAAGCATCGTCTCGTGCTCCGTAACAAAGGGGAACTGAGTTCAGTTTTTCCCATTTTTCTGTAAGAAAGATAAAAGAGAAGAGGTGAAGAATATATTTGATAGACACAATTCTTAAACATTTTGGGTATCCTGTGGTTTCCCTGGGTTTCCTGTTGCTTGGCATTCCAGACATTGCAAAATAGCGCCCTCGCACGCATTTCGCAGGGGCTTGCAAATCGGCTTCACATAGCCCTCAATACAGACAGAAAAAAAGTTGCTCCAGCGTGTTCATATTTGGCAAGGTACATTGGAATAGAGTGTTTTCACATGACGTCACGGCGGCCATATTGGTGTCCCAAACCAATCCTGTGGGATTTGAACTCTTTTCTTATGCAAACGCCTTCTTTTGCTCCAATAAATTTGCATAGCTGCTGGCCACGTGAGTGAAACCGCTCTATATGGGAAGACCCTTTCGACAAGGTTGGAAAATTTTCAGAGCACTTTCAATAATTATTTAACCGTCATTCACTACCACTACCAGGCAGTTCGAGTTCGAATTCAGCTCATACCTTTTTCGCATTGTTCTCCAGTTCGACCAGGAGGACAGAGACAACGATATCCCTTGTCAGTAAAACCACTTAAACAGGTCGCGTTGTAAAGGCAGGGGTTGCTGGAACATGCATTCTGGCAAGAAAAAGTTAAGCTTAAGGTACTGTAAGCATGATTTGTTGTTTTGTTTATTATCTTGTTTCTTTGTTTTGTCACGTACTTTATTAAAAGGTAAGCTGTCTTATTATAATTATTATTATTATTATTATTATTATTATCATGGTACAAACAAACGAAACAAAACAAAGACTCTTTTGTGTCTTTTCATGTTTTGCTGTTGTTTTGTATATATTTTGTTTCTTTGTTTTGTCACGTACCTAGTAAGCTTCGTTTACCCTTACTTCCGTGCCGAATACTGCTGCTGACACTATGATTTAGTTGGATACTCTAGCAAAGCAGCTTAACTGAGTAGTAATGTATAATTGACTTTAAGTGATGGGCAATATTGCAGAGCTACGATGTGAACGATCTCAGTCGTGGCTACCCAACATTAATCGACCAATCACTAGCCACATTCTCAAAAATTTAAATAGACTATAAACCTGAAACTCTATACAAGAAAATATCCCGACTTAGGTGGCTCATTAGCCAATCATAAAGGAGAACCTGAATTTGTTCCACTCACTAAAGTCAGCCTACATCAAATGAAACAAAACGTCCTTGACCAAGTTTCTTACCTCTGTGTAATAATACGTAAAGTTTTCCCATGGTGTAAGATTCAGTGGATGCTGAATGTGGTCATGTTCATTAAGTTCACATACCATTGATCCAAAATTAATGGAAACACATCTTTTCTCCCGAACGCATTCACTTTTACAGTCTCCAACAGTTTCCAGTGAAAGATTTTTTATCATGTGACCTTTCAGGGCATACCCTTCGATGGATGATAAAAACTGAATTTGTCGGCTGCATCTATCTGTAGAGTACCGAATGAACATCAAGTTATCTTGTTAACATTGCCTACGCGGCAACAACTTGTCATAGCTACTCATAAATAGAATGATTAGAAGCGATAAGGGATGGCATATACGCAAAATATTATGACGCGTGGGGCCCACTTCTCAGAATCTGGCTTATACCGCAAACGTTTCACTAGTTATTCGTTTTTAATATCTTGGTATGGACGGGCAAAGACGACACGGAGAGGCTAGAATGGACGCGAATCGGTGCTTATATTGGCTTTTGATGAATTTTTGTTAACACGAAAACGGAGGTTTTTAGTAGTGGCTTTGGTGAGACTGAAGTTTGAACGGCAAATCGCTCTTGAACTGCGGAATCCACGTCCTATCTACCACTTGTGACGTCATCAGTTTTAACGGTCAAGGACAACTTTGTCAGCTTACTTGTGCAGGGTGAAGAGATCTTTCAAATCATAATCATAGTAGTACTCGCAATTATAATCATAATCATTTATAATGTGATACGAGTATAACATCTAAAGTAAACCAAAAAAATATGCCGTTTACAGTTGTTTCTTCCCTTCGAGGGTTTGTATTGTAATTAATGTATCTAGCAGCTGCACTAATATTACTTGAAGTCCAAAACCCTTGCAAAGGGAATGAAACGTTTGAAAACTAAGGGCAAATAATATTTTGGAACACCATACTGACCTCGATTGGCAGCTGAAAAGCGATAAGTCCAGATTTCGTACACAAGTAACAGAAACAACAAAATCATCTCTGACAAATCTCTCAGCGTTTACTCGCTGAGAGCGAGATTGGATTCTGTCGAATGATTAAACCCAGCAAGATATATTTGTCCATGCTGATTTGAACCTAAGTTGGTTAATTAAGCTATGCATTATCTTACAGACGTCATATAAAGCAAAACAACAGGTTTACAAAACAAAATATAATTTTTACGAAAAGGTTTAAAAGTGTCGGTGAAAGTCTTACAAAGTATTAGGCCAATGTATTAAACAACCTATCTATTCTGAACTTCTTATTTTAAGAAAGACTCAGATAAGCTGCTTGTTTTATTTCTTTTCATTAATTATCTATTTTTGTCTTTTGTTTTCGTTTATCAATTTCAAGCTCTCCGAGGTCTACGCCGTATGTTACAATGGCAGGTGTAGAGCGTTTTCGCTCACGTGGCCAGCATCTATGCAAATTTATTGGAACAAAAGAAGACGTTTGCACAAGAAAAGAGTTCTACTCCCACAGGACTGGTTTGGGACATCAACATGGCCGTCCCTCCATTGTTTTGGGACACCAATATGGCCGCCGTGACGTCATATGAAAACACTCTATAATAACTTTGGTGGCCTTATCATGAGCGGTGTTTACGTCACACGTGCAGGGAGGTGACGGGCGGGAGGGGGGTTGTGCGGGGAGCGCAGGAGGCAAGAAAGCTTGTGTTAAATAGGTTTGAATAAGGTGCTTTGTTGCTAATGTGGCATCCCCCTTTCAGCTGACAATAATTCGGAAACCACTCAATAACTTTACAATAAGATTTGTCATTGTTGAGGCTAATCATCGTTTTATATTACATTTACGTTGCATGGTCATTGCAAACTTGTGAAGGTTTCAGTCCTGCCTGTCACTCTATCGGTTGCAATTGGCAAGTTGTGCCATGCAAAGCCGCGGTATGGCATGATATCATAGGGCAAGATGTGGTGTGATTTGATAGTTTATATATTCCACTGTAGCGTCATAGAAAAAGGTTGAGAAAGTGACTTAGAAATATAGCTTGTTTGCGCAGTGTTTTCGAGACCAACACTTAACGATGCAAAACACCAATTCACGCATACCACGCAAAAACATCAACACACGTCTGCCCGCTGTTATTGCTCTCCCCACAGTTGTGCAAGTCCCCTCCAAACCATATTCGGAATTCTTGTCCCGCAGACACGGCCAGTGGAGATGACATGTTGTTAAATGCGAGTATAGGAGCGTTAACACCGACACCGTCAAGCTTATATGAATAGTATGCACAACCAATACCATCTCCTCGGTATTCTGCCAGTTGCAGGGCTGTCTTGTTCTTGAACGTTATGATGGTTCCCAACTGCTTGTCCCCATATGATTCGTGGGTACATCCCCAATGCGATGCAGCTACGTCTTCTGAACAGCGTATGTTGCCGTTCAAGTGAGCGAGTTTAAACGTGTAGATTAATCCGCTTTCTATGATATTGAAAGCCCCGTATGAATCACCTCGAGCTCCAAAACAGACGCGATCATTATTGACCTTTTTCCAGTTTTCTGAAAGAGAGGACACCTGACTATGGTTAAAATCCAGTGGCGGATCCAGGTGAGGGACCCGCCCCCCCTCCCTGATTATTAGACCAAACTGAGCCCCCCTTATCTCAGGGCCTGGATGACCGCCCACCCTCCCCTTCCCCTTATCTGAAGGCCTGGCTCCGCCTCTGAAAGCGGTATCTGCGCTACGTCAAAGAAAATCAAGAGGAAATCAAGACAAGAAATTTTAAAAATTCATCAATGTCTTTTCCATCAACATAATACCATTAAAACATAGTCAGTTCGTGTGCTCAGCAGCATTCATAATTCAACATTATATATTTTGACGACTTAGTTTTGGGAAGATCGAAACATCTGGCAATGCAAGACTGTAAGGTGTTAAAATTATATGCAATTGCTAATTCAGCCCTTACCTTTTTCACATTGATCGCCAGCTCTACCAGGAGGACAAAGGCAGCGATAACCTTTGTTAGTGAAACCACTTAAACAGGTTGCTTTGAAGAAGCAGGGGTTGCTGGAACATGCATTCTGGTGAGGTAATAACAGTTCAACCTTATAAGCAAAAAAGGCTCAGAAAGAAAGACAAGTTACTGTGATAGTACATTATTAACTTTTAACTTGTGCGCGGGTGATGTTGTTGTTGTTGTTATTTTTGTTTTTATACTTTACGTTGAATCCTTTTTAGACGATCCTAACTCTTAAAGATGAAATTATAGGGCAACTTTAACAGTACTAGACTGCTAGAAGGAAATTTCCGTTGTGTCAAGATAATAAACTGTAACTCAGATGCCTTCAACCTTAAATCAATGTGTAAAAATCATTTTGACATAACTGCTGGCATTAATTTAATTAGGTCATTAAGATGTGAAATCGTCCTTTTGCTAACAGATGATACCGCACTGAAACAAAATCAATCGCCACAACCCGAAATTAATCGGCCAATCACTGGTCACATTCACAACTACCCTCTCCTTAGCAGTTGGTTGGCCAACCAAAAACGAGAACGTTCATTAAAATTTCCAAATGTAAGTGGCCCCCTCAATTCACTGCACTGTACTTTAAGGCTAAGGTAGACCGTTAAACTTGTTTTGCAACATTGCTACAAAGGGAGTTGAAAAGCTATGTTGCTCTTTTTACCACCCAATTAAAATAACATGATTGTTGCAACAAAGGTGTAATTCGTGGGTAGTAAAACAAGCAACAACGCTATTCAACTCATTTTGCTGCATTGTTGAGAAACAAGTCGTACGTTTTTGTTTCCTGTTTTGCTCCCCCTCAAGACAGTTGTCAGTCGAAATCAGAAGGACAAGTAGACATCTTTAACTCACTAAAGTAGCAACTTCCTCACCTTGGTGAAATGATATGTAAAGCCTTCCTGTGGTTTTAGATCCAGCGGATGCTGGATGTGGTCATGCTCATTAAGTTCACATACCATTGGTCCAACGTTAATGGAAACGCATCTTTTCTCCCGGACGCATTCACTTTTACAACCTCCACCGACTTTCAATGAGAGATTTTTTATCAAGTGACCTTTAAGAGCATAATTTTCGACGGATGATATAAAATGAACTTGTCTGCTACATCCCTCTGCATTGCAATAAAACCGAATTTAATTCTCAAAACTGTTATTTTTTCATAGTTCTGAAAAGGTGGGATATAGAAAATGAACAATTTGGTAATGAGGATTTCTAATTAAAACGTGGGTACACTGTGGATTACTTCTCGTAATTAAGTGGTCACTTGAAAGACGTAAAATTTCATCATTATATGCAGTCGTCATCTTAGTTCCAGATTCCATCCTTTTACAAGAAGTCAAATAAGGGGAATGGGGAAAGGGTAATAATTATAAATACAGCTTCAGTTCCAGAAATAAAACGAAAAAATATAATAAAAATGTAAATATTAAAAGGTAATATATCCTAAGGCTAGGCAATTACAGATTAAACCAAAGAGTGGTATGTTTTATTTTCCTTCAACTTTAAGGTGATGTTACTGGAGACAATTCGCAACGACGATTTTTAGTGCAACACAGGGTTAACTGTTGAAACAATGTTGCAGTCTTTGCAGACATTGCGATCGTTCTCATCGCTAGGTTTACGATCAGTGCATCTTACCAACAGTTCCCAACGGATCTGAGACCTGAAATCTTACGAAACAACAAACCCAAGAAACTCAGAACTATGCAGAGAGCCCATCATGGAAACGCTAACCAAACGCAAGTGGAATTGGGCTGGTCATATGGCTAGAAGAACAGACAACCGTTTGAAATCCCGCATTGCGATCTGGACGCCCTATGGACACACTAGAAACCGAGGAAAACCAAGGACGATATGGAGGGACGACTTACTATTATAAATTATAGATTGAGATAGTTCCCTACTCCTACGTCCAACTAGGAGCATTCAACCGCTGAAACTGAACTAAGGTTAAGCCGAGTGTTGCAAAAAGGCTGGAAATAGTTCTGAAAGACAATTTTTTGGATAATACAAGCAGCCCTGAAAATTAAAAGTAATGTTTAGAAGTCTACGATGATACAACATTATGGAATAATGGGCTATACTAACCTTGACTGGCAGCTGAAAAGCGACAAGAGCAGATTTTGTACACAAGTAATAGATACTGAAAAATCATGATCTCTTAACAATTTCTCAGCTTTCGCTCTTGTCGATAGAGATAAATGATTTCTCTCATACAATTTAAACTAGCAAGGCGAAATGGAAATCATTGTCTTTCGTGTCAAAACAAAACGTTACCAAAGTGCGTGGGGTGAGCAAAAAACTAGAAATAAATAATTAACAAAAAGTTTCCAGTGTAGCAAATGAAAAATGACTCAAAATAACAGGATTAATTTTTCGTACAATTAAGGTCTTAAAGTGTCAAAGATTTCAAAGGCGGTAAACTAAAACTAGGAGAAATCATTAATTTTAAGCTTTTAAGCTCAAAAAACCTTAAAAAAGCGACTTTCCCCCATACACTTGTTTTATTTTCTTTTAGTGATTTAAAGCTATCTGAGGTTTAACAGGGTAGGGTATAATGTTGTTTCTTTGTTTATTTATTTTTAACGAATAATTGTCATTTCAGTGTGCGATTTTATTCGAAATGTTAAGGAAACATGCAAAGCGATGTGTAAAATAGCTGCCCAGTGGAAGTGGACTTTTATTGCCAGCAAATTTTATTTCATGGTTTCAAAGGGCATTCCATACTAATAGTGCAACGATCAATTACATGCATGCTACTGCAGCTACAGGATCAGAATACTAAATTTTAAAACGACCCTTTAGTATAACCCCAAATAGTCGATTATTGACGTTTGCTACTTCTTAGGTCCGTAATTTTGAATTAATTTCATGTGTTCAATTTTACTTAATACAGCCGCATAAACCGTCGTAATCTGTGTATAAATAACAGGATGTTTAGGAAGAAAAATAACTAGTAACTGCAAGTTGGCAATTACGAGGGAAACTTATTCTGTTAAAATTGAGCCCAGCATCTCAAGTAAGTCATTTCAAATTCATGTTTCTTTTTTCTTTTTCTTTTTTTATTTCTCAAATTAGTCACAAAAAGCGTTTTGATTGCGCCAACACCTATAAAAAGTGATAAAATTTGCTAAATTAAGTGAAAAAATTGACAAACTTCGAAATATTAAAATTTGTAGTTGGTCCGAGGTTTGGGGGAATAAAACAAGACATGTATTATTCATTCCTGAGCCTCAAGTAGATTTCTTTTGTTTTATTCTCCTAAGCCTCGCAGCCAAGTATGAATTTTAATATATCAAAGTAAAAATAAACAATAAAATTTTTTATAGGAAAAAGACGAAAAGTTAAGACGTTACAATTTGAAATGAAGAATAGCGTGCAATATTATTCTATAATAACACAAGAAAATTGAAATAAGAAGAAAGTGAACGCTGAAAGTGTGTGTAAACAGAAACCGTTGAAGTTGTGATATGAAAAAAAATTGAAAAGTAAAAAAAGAATAAACAAATAATTAAAAATGGAAGAAATAAGGGATGTATTACATTTCATTTTTCGTATTAATACCCAAGAGTTCAAGAGTTTTGCCTCTCTCGATGAGGTATGCTTCTCTACGTTTTCGTACACCCTCTCTATTAGATTTAATGAGTGCTAGTGGAATAATTGCGATGTCGTTAGCAGAGTGATCATTGGTAAGAAAATGTTCTGAGACTGTGGCGGGTTTGGAGATATTAGAAGGGTTGTCAACTGGTCTGCGCGGTGTTCGTTTAAACGGTCTTTAATTCGTCGTTTGGTTTCACATATGTATTGTTTAAAGCATGTGCTTGTATCATAGTGAACCGACGCTCTTATTTGTAAACTGCGGAAATTAAATAAGAGATAAAATCTCTATTCTTGAATCTGCTGAGGTGCGAAGTGAAATGGAAGTTGTTTTAGGATGCGAAAACTATGTTCAAGTCGACGCTTTAACAGTTGTTGATTTCACAATGCTTTATGTGATTTGGCTCTCATTTCACTATTGGTGTCAACGCCGGTTGTTATTATCGTCTCGCGTTTGATTGTTAGTTATTAATTTATTAACAATTCGAGAGAGAGTAACAAAAAAAGATACATTGTCATTATTACTGTTAATTCAAATTGATAATAAATTAATAACCAACAATGAAACGCGAGACGATAATAACAACCGACGCGTGACACCAACAGTGAAATGAGAGCCAAATCACATAAAGAATTGTGATATTATGATATTTGGGATCGAAAATAATGCTTTTTAGACCAAAATATTAAAGTTTTAAATAGGGCCAAAAAAATGGACATTTTCCATAGGGGTTTGTCCATGGATTTTGTCCTAAAATCGAACTATTTCTTATCTGTGTTTTATAGGGAAATTATATCAAAAAGATAGTTTTTTTTTATATTTTGTAGAGAAAAGAATGACTTTTAAGGCATAATATTGAAGTTTTCAAAAGCGCCAAAAAATAGACATTTTCCAAAGGGGTTAGTCCACGGATTTTGTCCAAAAGTCGAACTTTTCCTTATCGACGTTTTTCACAGAAATCATATGAGAAATGATCGTTTTAAATATGGCGGAAAGAAAATAATGCTTACAAGAGGGAAAAAATAAGTTTTAAAAAGGGCCAAAAAATGGACATTTTTCAAAGGGGTTAGCCTATGGATTTTGTCGAAAAATCGAACTTTCTCTTATCGGCGTTTTTCACAGAAGTCATATCAGAAAAGATTGTTTTTCGATATTTATGAAAGAAAACAACCATTTTTACACCAAAAAATTAAAGTTTTAAAAGGGCCAAAAAATGGACATGTCCAAAGGGGTTAGTCCAAGAAAATTGTCCAAAAAATGAATTTTCTCTTATCGCTGTTTTTCACAGAAATTATGTCAGAAAAGATCATTTTTGGATATTTTAAATCGGAAACAATTATTTTAAGACCAGAAAACGAAGTTTAAACAAGGACCAAAAAACAAACATTTTTTAGAAGGGTTAGTCCATGGATTTTGTCCAAAAATCGAACTTTCTCTTATCGCTGTTTTTCACAGAA